TTGATTAGCAAAAACCAACTCCCACTATGCCAAACCTAACCCTTCACAGCTTCTCCCTCTTTCCTCCCGATCCAGTACCTGGTAGACAAAGCAGATGGTAGGGGCTTGGCAACCATATAGAAACTTGACGTCGATGACATGCAACTCCTCTAGGCGGATGTTAAAGGCCTTGAGCTCTTTGTTGTCCCGATCTAGTGGAATAACCTTGAAAAGGCCATCGTAGAGTCGCAGGCCAATCATCCGGCACTCAGGGTCAATGATGCCGATAATGCCGGTCTCCGAGGGGCGGCCAATCCGGTCCTGAGAGGTAAAGCTGCGATTAGAGAGGAACCTGAATGCTCACAGGGTAACAGAGGACACCGGGCACCACTTTCCCAGGAGCTTTAATCCTGCATCATCTAAATCCCACCATTTTAGGACAGAGAGTAAGACTGTGGCATCTAAATGACATGCCAGGGAGCCCAAATATTAGTGAATACTTTTTTGCAGAACACTGAATCTCAATGAATCATTTCTCTGTTCTCTGAACTCTAAGAAAACTAAAGAGGTCTTTTCTTCATAAAAGCTCATTCCCTCAAACCCTTAGTATTTTATGATCACACAGAGGGCTGCCCTCAGCACTTCAACTTTCCTCATCAAATCATGACGGCCCTATCTGGGGAACTCTCATTAGCCCGAAGCAGCCGCCTCACCTGGACATTGCCATGGGCTCGCGTAATGATGTCAATGCTCTCGCCACTCTGTTTATACTCCAAGATGCAGGCATTGTATTTAGCTGTCAGGATAAACAGTAGGTCCTTGCTCTCCCCCTGGAAATCGACATTATGCTATCAACAGAGGTCCCTTTTAAAACACTGACACTTGTCTAGCCTTTATACATCATTCTTTAAGTATGCCAGAACTTTCCAAATTGTTCTCTCCCTAATGAGAAAACCCTCAGTTACACACATGGTTAGTAGGTAACACACACTATTGTTGTTAGGTGCTGTGTAGTGGATTTCGACTCACAGCGAACCCATGTGACAGAGAAGAACTGCCCCATAGGGTTTTCTAGGCTGTAATCTCCGTAGGAGTACCCTGGAGCCACTGAACGTGTTCTAACCACCAACCTTTCCATTAGCAGCAGAGTGCTTAACTGTTGCGCCACCAGGGCTCCTGTAACACACACTGAGTACACGCATACCCTAAAGGTAGAGCCAAAAGGCTGGAACTAATAATGATAAACATCTAGTCATCATTTTCATGATTCTCCATCTCCCTGCTCTATATACAAAGTCTTCATCTATTTTCATCTCAGACTAATCTTAATCATATTATTCAAATACTGAAAGATGAATGCAATGCCTGCTGTAATTCTCTCCAATAGTATTAGAAAAAGAGGGGGAAAAAGTGGTAATGACAATGGAAGCTAAACTGAATCTACAAAGTCTTACTCATAAAACATAGACCCAAAAAAGTACTTTGTTCAAAGGATTATAATTCAAGCTTTTAACTCATTGCTTTTTTATCAAATTCAGTTAAGCCATTGTGAAGCAATGTGGTGGCTACTTGGATGAAGACATTTCAATTACAGTGATAATAATGACAACAATTGTTAACAAAACTCTGAGTGCTTGCCATGTGCTAAGCCCTGTGCTATTATTTCATTTAATCTTCACAACAACCCAGGGGATTGGATACTATTATTCCCATTTGGCAGATGGAGAAAATGAGGCTCTGAAAGACATCCAAAGTCATGGAATGAATAAGGAATGACGCCAAGACTGCCCTATTCTATAGTCTTACCCTCTGACTCACTAGGCAATATGGCAATGCACATTTCAAACTGCTCTACTTTCACCTTCCTGTAACTGAAAGAAGTCAACCTGACAAATTTTTCCCCAGTGAAATCTCTCCTCACACCTCTAGGAAACTTGTTCAAGATTATAAATTGGAATCTGCCATTCAAAGGCAGAAGAGAATCTCTCCTCAACCCTTTCCCATCCATCCCAAGCAATGATAAAAAAACACCTACAACCAACAGTCCTCCCTTCATTGCTGGGCCCAACTCAGAGCACTTACCTTGGGCCTGAAAAGCTCCATGACAGCAATCTTTCCATACATGCCCACCTCTTTGACGGGCCGAAGCCCCTCAGCAGTGACCACATAGATCTCTAATCTTGTGTTTTTGGCAATCAACAGGTTCAGGTCTTCAGCTGAAGTAAAGTGTCCTGAAAGAACAGATTCCTCTCACCTTTGAAGTCAGGGAAAGGGCCTCCCCAGCAGTGTCTAAATAATCCTATTACTTTCTGCCTACATCTCCAGAATTCTCATTTACTCATTTCTCTAGCTCCCTCCGTTCACTCCCTTTCTTACCTAACCCAGCACCAGAAAGAGTCTCACTTCATACATCCAGCAAGGCTCTCTCCCTCATCAGACTAAGAAAACTGCACTGGTCCTAAAAGCAGCATAGAATGTGAAAACCCTTCAGTCAGCTCTGTCCCCTTGAATTTTACTTTTCCTATGACAGTGGCAGACTTGTCCTCTAATTAGCAGATGCTGGAGGAAGTGTCCATCTCTTCCAGTTGTCATCTAAACTCTCACAAAACCTTTACCAAACAGGTCAGATCACATGATGAGTATCCCCAGAGCTTTATATGAAAACATTGTTTTGCCCACACCCCCTGCCCTCCCAGGAGTCTACCAATTGTCCCATCTGCACCTCCAACTCTCCAAACAACATAGCTTGGTTTTGGAAACATGACTGGGATTTACATAAACGTAAAAGCTTGCTGTTGTCATGTGCCGCCAAGTCAGTTCCAACTCATAGCAACCCTATACGACAGAGTAGAACTGTCCCTAGTTTCCAAAGAGCAGCTGGTAGATTCGAGCTGCTGACCTTTTGGTTAGCAGCCAAGTTCTTAACCACTGGAAACATGACTGGGATTTACAGAAACATACAAGTTTAGGTCGGCATATTACGCTCGGAATTTAGGTTCAGGATGATTACTCCTGGGTTCCAAACATGGTTGGACTTCTGTGTCCTTAAGGAGTCACCAAAGCAAACTCAGCACTGGGCCAAGCCTTCCAAACTCCCTTCTCCAGCAGCACCCTTGTGTAAACAACAGCCCCAGGCAAAGGTGTGAGCTTCTCCCTATCTGGGTGAGTGGGGAGATTCCTCACATCCTTCCACCTCCTGCGCCCCCCACGTGAAAACCCGATTCAAATGCCGCCATCACCACTGCCCCTTCCCCCGACCACACGAGGCCAATCTCGGGGCCCAAGCAACACCGCACAATCAACTCCCAGTCCACTCTGTCCCACTGGGCCCGTTCCTGTCCTCGAGGCCAAGTGACCTCCCAGAACGAAAAGGGACCCCGCAAGAACAGCTTTTACTCCCCAGAAGACGCGTGTGGAAACAGTTTATTTGGAAGTCGGAGGGCTGGAGAAGGTTCCTCGGCCGCCAGGGCCTTCCATTCCCCGGGCCTGGGCCTGCCCGGCCGCCCCTGAGTCCGCGGGCCTCCCTGGGCCTCAGCTTCCCCCAGCCCCCTCCCTCGCCGGGGTCTCCGGCCCTGGCAACCGTACCGGTCACGCAGCCGTTCACTGCGGTGGGCTTCTGTGCCGTTACCACGTAGTTGTACGACATGTCGAGGCCTGGGGCGGCCCGTCAGGACACAAGCGCAAATATAGAGAGATGGACTCCAGCAAAGACACAGAAGGCCCCCGCCCGCGCGCAGCGATCTTCACGGCTGCTGCCTCCGCCCCAGAGACACGTTGCAGGCCAGAGCGGCCGGGGAGCGAGGCATCACGGGACGGCCTCACCTGGCCTCTGGATGACTCGCAGCTCCGGAGGCGGCCAACCACAGGAAGCCCCGCCCCTGGGGGCCGGAGCCTGCAGTACCCGGATGAGAACACGCGAGCGGTCCTTGTGAAGCGCCGGCGGCTAGCGAGGTGGCTGTTGAGGGGGCCGGCGGGCGCGAGTGGGCAGGGAGGTGTACCTCACCGTATTCCGAGCCCGCCGACCCCCAATTCCCAACCCCCGCCAGGCGTCGCCCCTAGCCCTTGCCCAGATCTCCATCTTTGCCCCAAACCATTGCTTCAGGAGCCCGCGGGGTTGTTCCTGTTTTTGGAATCAGGAAGACTGCAGAGGCCTAGAGAGGGGAGGGAGGTGACAGCGATTTGTGCAGATACCAGGCCCAGGTCCGTGCCGCCCTCCTTGTGAACCCTCTCAGTTGCTCTAAACTCAGGCGGTGACCTCGCCAGACCCTAGAGCGACCTCACTGCCTTGCCTGGGACACCGGAACGCTCACTTCTCCCCCTTTAAAATGTTTTTTATTCTTCAGACTTTGAAGGGCTCACCAGGACTCTTGCTCAACATCATTAGTGCTTCCATTGCTCTTCAAAATCTGACCCCAAACACAAATCAATTTGACCGGTGGTGAGACCCTTAATGGCTCAGGAGGGTGGTTAATTGGCCCTGTACCCTCCAGGCCACCTTACACCAGACAGGCTTCCCAAGGAGCAAGAGAACCACATCATTTGGAGCACCTGCAGAATGCCAGAGAGGCGCCAACCCAGTTTTACAAATGAGGAGACTGAGGCTCAGAGAGGTGGTCCCCCCAGTAAATCAGAGGCAGAGCTTGATACAGAGCCAAGTCTTCTGACCCCAGGCCAGGTTCTTTCCACTACAGAGACACAATGAACCTCCCCCTGAGACCCTGGATGACCCCGAGACTCTTCTGCACCAGGCGGAACACACCAGGGACTCTAGTAGACTTTGGAAGCACTGAATTACCTGTAGAAAGAGTACAGGATTTGTAGAAAGACTAGACACGGGTTTGAGTTCTGACTTTTCCCAGTAGGACCTTGGACAAGTCACTAGACCTTTCTGAGTCTCATTTTCCTCAATGGGGTCAAATTCAAGCTGCCTCCTTTCTGGTGTCGCACTGGTTACGAGATAGGGCTGCTAACCAAAAGGTTGGCAGTTTGAATCCACCAGCCACTCCTTGGAAACCCTATGGGCAGTTCTATTCTGTCCTGTAGGGTTGCTATGAGTCAGAATCACCTCAACGGCAATGGGTTTGGTTTTTTTTTTTGGTCCCCTTCTGGTGTGGTGCTGAGAGCAAGGATGTGAAGATCTTTGTAAATTTTTTCATGCAAGAGATGAAGTTACCCGGTAGGTAACTTTGCTCCTTGATAGTGAGGCTGCTCCTGGGCATAAAGGCAGCCCTGTGCCCAACCTAAATTGATCTGACTCCTGGCAGCCAAGCGCAGGTATGAACCTTGGTCAGCCCCATGCTCTTCTTCATCCCCAGTGCACTAACTAGAATTTGTACTTGGATCAAAGTCTGGGGCAGCTCCCTGTTTTCTAGGGCAGTAGCAGCGTGACTGTGCCAGTCTCACGATTCCCTTCAGCAGCTTGCATCCTTACCGACTCCTGCAGGTGCAGCTGCCACTTCCACCGAGCTCAAACCTAGATAGCACCCCCAGGATCTCCTGTCCTCCGGCATCTCAGTGTGAAGGTGTGAACGCTGCCTGCTTCCGAGCCTCCCCACCATGGTGAGTCCTATGGGGACCAGGGCAAGGGAAGGACACTGTGATTTTGGAGCAGTGGACATCCCAGCCCTGGCCATGCTGGAGTTCCTTAGGCCCTGATCAAGAGCTGCTGCTGCTTCCTGAAGTTCAGAGAGGTTAAGAAAGAAGGGTCCTCCTCTTTTTCCGGGGCTGATCCCTGCTTCCCTCCACTTCCTGGAGTCCTCTGGTCCCAGCCAGGCCTGGGGCTTCAGCCTCTGACTCCCTCCAGGGCCCATCTGGCCCAAATCTGGGTCACACATTTAGATTACAACATTAATAGTCACCTATTCTGTAATGGTGGTACAGTGGTAGAGTTCTCACCTTCCATGGGGGAGACCCAGGTTCAGTTCCTGGCGAGTGCACCTCATTGCACCTCGGTCTGTCATTGGAGGTTTGCATATTGCTACGATGCTGAAGAGGTATCAGTGGCGCTTCCAAACTAAGACAGACTAGGAAGAAAGGCCTGGTGATCTACTTCTGAAAACAGCTAATGAAAACGCTATGGTCACAAAGGCCATTGTGCATGGTGTTACCCTGAGTCCAGAGCTTACTCAACAGTGGCTGACAAGAACAGCACTCCGTAATGGGCACTGTACCCGTTATAGAAGGAACCATGGAGAACAGCCTTGTGCTTGTTACTGAGGCTGGGGCATGTGTGAGCTAGTCCCAGAGCTGGGACCTACACTGTGGGAGGCTCAGTGTGCCCCTGGCCATTGCTCCAGGCCCACCCTAGAAAGATCTGAACCAGAGCAAACCTTGGACAGATCTGGGTTCAAATCTCAACCCTGCGACCAAACAGCTACATGACCTTGCACAAAAGATTTGACCTCTCTGAGCCTCTTTTTCCTCATCTACAGTGTGAGGCAGACTGAGGCCTACCACCAAGTGGCCCTAGACCAGAGTCCTAGGACCTCTCACAGTGTGTCACTTCCTTTCCTTTTTCATCCCCTGGTCCCATCAGGTGCTGGGAACCAGGGGTAGCACTGGCACCTTTGGTGCAGTGATGGTTGAGAATCCCAGGCAGGACAGATTGTCAGGGATGGAGAACGGGGCACACTCTTGGAGGGTGATGATGCTGGAGGCAAGGCTTGGAGTTGAGACCGATTCGTGTCTTCATTGCATGTCCCAGTCCCTGGTGGGCTCTAAGAACCACAAGTCTATGCCCTTCCCGGGGCAAGACCTCTCCTGCCCTCAACCTCCTTGAAAACTCTCTGGAGCACAGTTCTACTCTGACACACATGGGGTCACCATGAGTTGGAGTTGACTCAACAGGAACTGTTTTTTGTTGTTTTGTTTTTTTAATTTCCTATTTATATAATTCAGTCCCTTGGCTGCATGATGTTGTCAAAATGGTGCCAACGTTGGAGCCAGGCAGACCTGGATGCTTGCTGGCTGTGTGACCTTGGGCAAAGTCATTCAGCTGTTCCTCGGTTTCATCACCAGGCTAATCTTTCCTCCACAGGGGTGTTGGGAAGATTAAATGAGATGTGCTCAAAGCACTTAGAACTGGGCCTGGTTCTTAGTCCCAGCTCAGGAAATGGCGCCAGTCTTATTCTGCTCGTGCCTTACTGGCCCAGGCTGCTCTCCTCAGCTGAAGCAGGTGGCTTGGTCTCACCCTCGCCCGACCCAGGAAAGGCCAGCAAGGAGGCATCAGTACCAAATTTTGCACAAAGGAGCTGGGTGCTGGCAGGCTCAGGAAGAGCCACAGCCGGAAGTGCACTTTGCAGGGACCTGGCTCAGCTGTTAGGCCACGCCCGGCCACCTGGTGGCGCTAGGAGCCTGGCCCTTCAGTCCCTATTGGGCCCCAGTCCCATGGTCTTTAGGACAAAGGCGGGAGCTGCATCCTGGTCTGCAGCCCTTGTGCAGCCAGCTCTAGCTTTTCCGAGCTGATTGAAATATAACAAGAATAAAAAACAGTCACTGTCAACTCCAACTCATGCGACCCTATGTGTGTCAGAGTAGAACTGTGCTCCATAGGGTTTTCAGTGGCTGATTTTTTGGAAGTAGATCACCAGGCCTTTCTTCTGAGGTGTCTCTGGCCAGACTCAAACCTCCATTCTTTCGGTTAGCAGTCGAACAACCATTTGCACCACCCAGGGATTCCTCCATAATAGGAAATGCTGGCTTTTATTGAGCTTGTACTATGTAACACGCATATGCTCTATTAGTAAGTTGCCATTTGTCCATTTTACAGAGGAAGAATTAAGGCTCAGAACAGTGAGGTGTCTTCACTGAGTTTTCAAAACTAATGAAAGGCAGAAGTGGGACTTGAACTCAAGTCCTGGTGATTGTAGAGCCTAAGCTTGTAACCACTCTAGCCCGACGCTGCTCCCTTCTCTTGCCCTCACCCGCCATGTCAGCTCAGCTGAGTGTGGGGCTGCTCTGTGGCTCTCAGGCTGGCCTGCACATGTGCCTATTTCCCTCCCCTCTGTGGTTCCCCAGGCCAGGCTCTTCGAGGGCCAGTGAGGCCCCTAGCCCCCTCTCCTGCTGGCCACTTGTTCCTCCAGCCGTTCTAACTGGCTCCCTGGTTCCTGCACCCACCCTATTTCACATCTCCAGACCTTGGCTTATGCCTCTCCCTCTTCTGGAATGTCCTTCCTCTTTTCTTCTCCTGTGCTCCCTACTACCATTTTACCTACTTAACTCCTGCTTAGGCTTCACAAAGACTTCCAGGATGCTCTGAGGAGGCTGAGGCCCCTCTGTGCTTCCATAGCACGGGTGCATCACTCTTGCTAGCTGGGCTCACAGTATGTGGAAATGGCCCCTTGGCATTTCCATCCAGGGCTCAGAGGGCATCCTATTATCACTGCATGCCCAGTGCCGAGCACTGGGCCTGGCACCCAGAGAGCCTCAGGAAATGTTTGCTCTGCATCAGAGGCCCAGTCGAAGCATCGGTTGGGCAGCACAGGAGCCTCCCTGGGGCTTCTTCTTTGACAGAAGAAGGATGTTGGTTCCCAATTTTATTATATATTTTTTACAGTCGGGACTCCTGCTTCCTTATATTCTTTGCCTCAAAGCCATTTTTCTCAGGCTAAATTTAAGCCATGGTCCAAAACCATTTGGCACAGAATAAAAAGCCACCAATTAGGAAGGGAAGTCGCAGCATCCTCTACCTGTGAGAATGTCACCCAGCCCAAGGGACTGCTGTCTTCCTGGAGTTCCTGGGTGGGCGTGGGAGAGGGGTCTTGGCCATAGCAACATGGCTGGGCAGGACGGGGTGTCCGCTGCCCACAACCTGAACCTCCTCCTCACTCCCATCCCGCAGACCTCCAAGAAGCTGGTGAACTCAGTGGCAGACTGTGCTGATGATGCCCTTACAGGCCTGGTGGCCTGCAACCCCAGCCTGCAGCTCCTGCAGGGCCACCGTGTGGCCCTCCGCTCAGACCTGGACAGCCTCAAGGGCCAGGTAGCACTGCTGGCGGGCGGGGGCTCCGGCCACGAGCCTGCCCATGCTGGTGAGTAGAGGGGGCAGAGGTCGGAGAGGCAATGCCAGGCAGGGTAGACAGGAAGTTCCCAGGAGATGCCCAGTGCTGGTCTGACATTCAGGGCAGAGCCTAGCCCAGAGTTAGGAGCCGGCTCCTGGTTCTAGCTCTCCCAGCCCCACATGCTATGATCTGGGGCCAATCATGGCCTCTCTCTCAGACTGTGTTCAGTCAGATGATCTCTCAGGCCCTTCCATTGCTGAGAGTTTGTGATTCTATGAATCTTCCTGGCCTTCCAGGCCCAGCTGACCCACTCCCTCCTCCATGAAGCCTTCCTGACTTCTAGCCTAGAGCAGTATCCCTCTAATGAGCACCCACCCTGCAGTTTTGCCCACACTCAGGAACAGTCCTGGATTGTTCCCTGTTCGGTGCCATGAATGTCATCCCTCCTTGGCTCCCTTGAGAGCTCCTGGAGGATGGGGACAGGCTTTGTATCGTTTGTACTTTCCTGCTTCCCTTCAGCTAGCCCATTCACTCCCTCAGCAAGCACTGATGGGCACCCCCTGTGGGTCAGGCACTGCTCTGGGCGCTAGGGATACTATAGGACAAGGCCCCTCCCCTCCTGGAGCTTATCTTCTACTTCAGGGAGACAGACAGCAGCCAGGTAAACCTGTGAGGAAAGGAGATGGTAAAGGAGAGGAGCGAGTGCATGGTAAATATAGTCAGATGGTAAATATAGTCAGATGGTAAATATAGTCGGATGGTAAATATACTCAGATGGTGAAGGAGCAGCGGGTCACTGGGGGTGGGGAGGGTCAGGGAAGGCCTCTCCACGATGACTCCCAAGGAGTCAGCCATGTGACAATCCTCTGGGGAAGATGACCCAGGTGCTCTTTGGGGCCAGGCGCACAGTAGGGGCTCACCAAACCAGGAGGCTCCAGAGTGTGGGGAGTCCCAGTGACCGCAGGTACTGGTCCCCACCCATTGTCTTCTCTCCCTCCCCTCCCTGTCTCCAGGTTTCATAGGGAAGGGGATGCTGACAGGGGTCATTGCAGGAGCTGTGTTCACCTCCCCGGCCGTGGGCAGCATCCTGGCGGCCATCAGGGCAGTGGCCCAGGCAGGCACAGGTAAGACTGGCATGTGGAGGGACAGGGAGGCTGAGGCGGGAAGGGTATGCTGCGGGGTGGATGAAGGTAAGCACTGATGGGACCCTGCCTACGGCTCCTGTAGCGGGGACCCTCCTTATCGTGAAGAACTACACGGGAGACCGGCTCAACTTTGGCCTGGCCCGGGAGCAGGCCCGGGCTGAGGGCATCCCAGTGGAGATGGTGGTCATTGGGGATGACAGTGCCTTCACTGTCCTAAAGAAGGCAGGCAGGCGGGGGCTCTGTGGTACCGTGCTTATACACAAGGTAAGATCCCCACCCGTGACCCTGCTCTTCACTCAGTCTTCTCTCTTCAGGCAGCACCTGGTGGCAGGACCATTCCATGCCCTACCCTACACAGACGCACCCATGAGAAGCCACTCCCAGACCCCTCCCTTCCTTTCCCCATACCCAGTCAATAGCCTGTCCTGGTGATTCTACTCCCAAATGCCTCAGTACCACACATCCTCCTCAGACCCCTGTCTTCCCAGACCCAGCTTTGGTTCAGGGCTCATCTGCTCATGCCCAGAAGGCTGCAGTGGGCTCCTTGATGGCCCCCTGCCTGCTTCCTGCCTGTCCCAAAGCTCTTTGGTCGGGTGCCCACCACTCCCTTGACTTACCTCCCTGACTTTCCATCCTCATCACCCATCACTCACTTTCCTCTTACGCTCTGTTTATACCAGATCCCTGTGCCCACTGGGCTAGGGCTCATTTCTGGTTTGCTTAGGCTGTGTCTATGGCCTGAAATATCCTCTCCACTTTTGGCCTGGCTAACTCCTACTGTGTTTAGAGGTCCATCTGTGGTGTCCTCCCATCTGGGAGCTTTCCCTGACCTCCCCACTACCCCACACTGGTTAGGAGTCCCTCCTCAGTGCTCTCATAATATCCCTGTGAACTCTATCACTGCATTTACTACTTTGCAGTCCATTTTCTATCTGTGTGTGTCTGCTTCCCCACCTGCTACCCAGACTGTGAGCTCCTTGGAGACAGGCACTGTGACTTAGTCATCTTTTATTTTCTAGCACTCAGCACATAATAGATGCTAGGTAAATATTGGATGGATAGGTGGATGGATGGATGAACGGATGGATGGATGGATGGATAGATGGATGGATGGGTAGGTGAGTGGGTGGGTGGGTGAATGGATGGGTGGGTAGCCAGGTGAGTGGGTGGGTGGCTAGGTGGATGGAGGAATGGGTGGGTGGATAGTTGGGTGGGTGGATGGATGGGTGAATGGATGGGTGGGTAGTGGGTGGATGGATGGATGGATGGATGGATGGATGGATGGATGGATGGATGGATGGATGGATGGATGGATGGATGGATGAAGTAAGCCACAATGATGTGCCATGGGAAAAAGAACTCTAGATTAGGAATTGGGAAACTGGCTGCCAACTGGATGTGTGACATTGAGCAAGTCAGTTCCCCTCTCTGGGCCCATTTCCCCATTTGTAAAATCCCCCATGATTCCAACAGACTGGAGTTCCTGAAGATTCCTGGCAGATGCATTGTGAATGAAGAGGTTGCACTCTTCTGCCCTAAATGTGGTGGAGTACTAGGATTCCCCCTTTCCAATGAGAAAGTCCTCCCCAGCTCATCTTCTGCTTCCAAGTGGTGTGACTTCTTCCCCCTTGGGGGCTTCTGTCTGTGGGGTACAGGTGGCAGGTGCCCTGGCTGAGGCTGGTGTGGGGCTGGAGGAGATCACCAAGCGGGTGAGCGCGGTCGCCACGGCCATGGGTGAGTGCAGCCCATGGGCTCGGGGGAGGCAGGGGCAAGGTTGAAGCAGGTGTTGGGCCTAGGAGCAGATACCTGTCAGCTGCATGGTGTTGGCTTTACCGAGTTTTCCCTAGGGGCTGAAGGAAGGTCTCCATGGGGGAGCTCCTGGGGACCGGTGGCCTTCAGCTGGGTTCTGTTTCATCATTAAGATGAAAGAGGCCGGCAGCCCTTCTCAGTGAAGAGGATGCTTGTGGGCAGGGATTGCTGCTGCCCTTCCTGGTGCCCAATGCCAAGGCCAGAGTAGTAACCCCTTTTCTGCCTCATTTTTCACAGGTACCCTGGGGGTGAGCCTGTCCTCCTGCAGCGTCCCTGGCTCCAAACCCACCTTTGAGCTCTCTGCCGATGAGGTAGAGCTGGGCCTGGGTAAGCTTGTGGCCACCCCTGCCAGCCATGCCTGCTCCTCTGTCTTGGCATTTGTCCCTGTCTTATGCCCTGGGAGCCATCCCCCTGGTCCTCCCTGCTTAATGCTCACCTGGAGCTATCCCCTAGGTGGTCTTAATATCTTTAAGTGGGCACTGAGGCCCTTCTGGACCAACCTGCCTGATTTCTACCCACTTTACATCCACACCCAGGGCTCCCCAACATGGGACTCCATGCACCCGCCCACCTCTTAGCTTTGGCTCACACCATTCCTGGGTCCTCCTGCCCCTGCCAAAATACCACCCTTCTCTCCAGGGCCGTTCAAAGGCCACCCCTGCCGTAGAGCTCTCCAGCGCCTCCCCTGTGCTTCCAAGGTGGTGGGCATAGGCCTCCTGTAGCCTCACCGTGACTACCTCTAGTTAGCGCTCCTCCGGTTCCTGGCTACCTCACCACCAAGCCACAAGCTCCGGGAGAGCAGAGGCTGTGCATTTTTCATCATTCTGCCCATTGCCACCCCACTCCCCACGCACACAGTGTCCAGCCTAGTGCTGAGCACTTTACTCAGTCCTTGATAATGTGTAATGGGCCAATCCCCAGTCCAAGTGGGTCAGCTGTGACATGTCTATCCACAGGCATCCACGGGGAAGCCGGCGTGCGTAGGATAAAGGTAGGTGGATTCCCAGACCCAGGCTGGTCCAAGGCCAAGTCCTCCCATGCAGCTGACTCCTGGCTTCCTCTGACAGATGGCGACGGCTGATGACATTGTGAAGCTCATGCTCGACCACATGACGAACCCCTCCAATGCATCCCATGTACCTGTGCATTTAGGTGGGTGGCCTGTCTCCCCCATCTCCCACCTTTCCTACCTCTCTGGGTGGGGGCACCCAAAGAATTTCACCTGGGGGTGTCATCTCTACCTATAGGCTCCTCAGTGGTGCTGATGGTCAACAACCTGGGTGGCCTGTCCTTTCTGGAACTGGGCATCGTAGCCGACGCTGCTGTCCGCTCTCTGGGTGAGCCCCACACTGGGCAGGGGACCTGCCCCAACCTCCAGAATGTTTTCCCTCCAGCCCCTTGAAGCTGTACGTAGCAAAGCAGCTGAAGTAGTGCCTTGTGATGGCCCAGAGCATGGCTATGCAATCAGATGAGCCCAGGTTCAGTCATCACTCTGCGACTTCATTGTTGGGTGCCTTGGAGCCTCGGCTTCCTGGTCTGTAAAATGGGGTGATGGTAATAGTATCTGCTTTATAGGATTGTTGTGAGGGTTAAATGAGATTGAGCATGCCTGACACCTGGTGGAACTCAGCAAGTGAAACTTGTAATTACTTATCTGCCCTGAAGAGGGGGCACCTCCAGGGACTGTGGACACATGATGCCCTGAGGAAAGCTGGCCTCTCCCCACTCGCCTCAGGGCCCCTGCTTCCAATGTCCTTGGTTTTCTACTCTTCTGTTTTCTTCCCCGTGCTCTGGGGGGCAGAGGGGTGCCCTTCCTTCCCTCCCTCATGGACTTCATGCTTTGGTACTGCAGAGGGCCGTGGGGTGAAGATTGCCCGGGCCCTGGTGGGCACCTTCATGTCTGCGCTGGAGATGCCTGGTGTTTCCCTCACCCTCCTGCTGGTCGATGAGCCCCTCCTGAAACTGATAGGTGAGACTGGAACCTGAGGTCACCCAAGCCAGGGCTCCTGGTGATGGGAGGAGCCAGAGGGACTCCTAGGGCCCCCATCAGGGCTGGCCATGAAAATCAAGCATCGGGCCCTGTGAAGCAGCCCTTTCTGGCTTCCCCTGCCTCCTCTCACTTGACTGTGGAGGAGTTGGTATGAGGATCCTCCTCAGATCTGCCTGGCCTCTTCCCCTTGTACACAGTAGGCACTCAGTACATGCTTGTTGAGGTGGCTCCCCTTCCTCCAGGGCAGGAGGCCATCTGCTGAGGGAGCAGGGCCACCAGTGCTAGGTGGTGAGCCAAGCCCTGCTTGATCCCTGGCTGGCTGACCATGCCTGAGTGATCCCACTGTCCTGCTGGTCCCCAGATGCTGAAACCACTGCATCAGCCTGGCCCAGCACGGCCAAGGTCTCTGTGACTGGGCGAAAGCGGACCCGGGCAGCCCCTGCTGAGCCCCGAGAGGTCGCTGACTCTACCGCTGCAGGAGGTACCAGACCCTGCTGGTGGGGAGGGAGTGCTTGCTTGGTGGCCCAGGGCTTGGGCCTGAACCCCAAAGGGAGCAGGGGTGTGAGTGGAGCCCTGGGTGGCTGACGAGGTCCAACCCCTGGTACACACACTCCCACACCAGTCAAGTCTGGTGGTGAGAAGGGCCCAGTGGGCCTCCTCCCCGCTGTCCTCCCTTTCCACTGCCCTCCCTTTCCAGGTGTAGCCTCGAAGCGGATGGTGCTTGTGCTGGAACGGGTGTGCAGCACCCTCCTGGGCCTGGAGGAGCACCTGAATGCCCTGGACCGGGCTGCTGGTGATGGCGACTGTGGCACCACCCACAGCCGCGCTGCCAGAGGTTGGCACCGGGCCCGTCTGGGGTCAGGAGAGTGACTGCTGTGGCACATGGGTTAACATTTTGGCATTTCATGAACCAGAACATTCCAAAAACTTGGCGTGGTAATCCAGGGTTAAACCCAACCCAACCCAACCCAACCCATTGCCGTGGAGTCAATTTTGACTCCCTATAGGACAGAATAGAACTGCCCCACAGGGTTTCCAAGGAGCAGCTGGTAGATTTGAACTGCCAACCTTTTGGTTAGCAGTCGAACTCTTAACCACTGAGCCACCAGAGGTTACCAACTTTTATTTTGCCAAAAGACGTCATTCACAAAACCTCAGCACCCATTTCCCTAAAGAAAGGACCTTCTAACGCTTACCAGTGTAGGAAGGTGCTTATCTCAGAATAGAATGGAATCCTTTACAGTGAATGACTTTAAATTCCAGGAAAACTCTATTGACCTTACGTTTCTCACTTCACCCAGAGCAGCGAAAACCTCTTCATTGTCCAGCCCCATTCATTCAAGAAAACTTTATTTAGTGCCTACCATGGACCAGGCACTGTTCTGGACTCTAGTGAACAAAGCAGAAAAAAATCACTGCCCTCATGGCTTACCTTCTGATGGGGGATAAACCAGAAACAAGATGAATCAGGAAAACACGCAGGACGTTAGTGCAAAGGGCCAAGGAGGGAAAATGGAGCCGGGATGCGGGATATGAAATGTTCCAGGCTGAGGGCGGATGGTTTCCGGGCAGGCCTCACCTGCTAGGTGACTGCTGAGGTCTCTCTCAGTTGCATTTCCCACCCCGCAGCAGCCTCCACACTGGGTTCAGAAAGGGAGCCTGGTCCTTTTAGTTCTCTTTCAACCTCTTCCCTCCCCCGTTACTCCTGACTGGCAGAGAGGCCTAGGTACTCAGTTGGGGTCCAGAGAGGCAGGTGGAGGGCTCTGAATCCCTCCCCATCTCTCTCACCTGCAGCCATCCAGGAGTGGTTGAAGGCGGGCCCACCCCCTGCCAGCGCTGCCCAGCTCCTCTCCAGATTGTCCGTCCTGCTACTGGAGAAGATGGGTGGCTCATCGGGGGCGGTGAGTGCCCACAGGGCTGACAGGGAGGGGTGCCGGTGTGGCTGGGGCCCAGGCCAGCTCCTGGTGCTCAGCATTCTGCCCTCCGCAGCTCTATGGGCTGTTTCTGACGGCGGCTGCCCAGCCCCTCAAGGCCAAGACTGACCTCCCTGCCTGGTCTGCAGCCATGGATGCTGGCCTGGAGGCCATGCAGAAGTGAGCTTTTGACCCCTGTGCTTTAGACCAGCAGTGGGCTAGGGGAGCCAGGCCCTGTCCTCACCCCCAAAGGGATTCCCTCCAGGAGCCTCATTCTATTCTTTCCCTGCCAGGTATGGAAAGGCTGCCCCAGGGGACAGGACTATGGTATGTATGCAGGTGTGGCCCCAGCCTGCCTCTCTTCTGAGCCTGGAAGCCTGAAAGGCCACCATCAGTGGTGGGGCCACTCCTCAGCCCCTCCCTTGCCTTGTATAGCTGGATGCTCTGTGGGCAGCAGGACAGGAGCTGCAAGCCTGGAAGAGCCCAGGGGCTGACCTGTTGCAAATCCTGACCAAAGGTGTCAAGGTGAGTGAGGCCAGGCCCAGCTGCCCAGAGACAGGCTTGGGGCCACCAGGCTCCCATCTCCATGTGACCCAGAGCACGTTAACCTTCCTGGGCTTGTTTCCTCCTCTGTAACATGGAGGTAATGGTGGTACCTAGTTCAGGGCTACTGTGAGGCTTACAGGAAATACATAGAGCCCAAGCCCAGTGCCTGGTACATAGAAAATGGTGGCCGTTTTCCTGCTAGAGGCAGGGTGGGAGGTGATCTCTCCACCCTGATAACACCATAAAGGGTGCTGGCAGAGCTGGGACAAGAGGGCCAAGAACCAGGTTGCGCCCGATTGCACGGCAGAGGAACTCTGCCCGTGGCAGGGAGGAGGTCTGGTGGCCTGGCCTTGAACCTGATCCCACACCCCACCCCCTCAGAGTGCGGAAGCTGCAGCCGAGGCCACCAAGAATATGGAAGCTGGAGCCGGAAGAGCCAGTTATATCAGCTCTGCGCGGCTGGATCAGCCAGACCCCGGGGCTGTGGCAGCTGCCGCCATTCTCCACGCCATCCTGGAGGTCTTGCAGAGCCAGGGTGTGTGACCGCCCCCTCGGCCTCAGCTCCTCACTGCTGGGCTCAGGTGGCCACTGTCACTTCCCTCTGCCTTCAACCACTACTCTCCCCCCACCCCACTCCCAGGGCCTGAGTTCAGCAGGAAATTCCCCACCCAAACCTCCAGAATGACTCCACTGCAGAGACAAAGGCCCAGAGAGGGTTCAGATGCCTCATCAGCACTGCCCTTCCCCTCTTCTGGGAGGGTGGAGTCCCTGCGCATCTGGGCTGGCCCCAGTCAGCTCTGGGCTGGCAGCACAGCCTCTAACTGCCAACACTATCTGGTTTTAAGACTCTCTCCTTGAAAGGCCTCTGCACCTGAATCTGAACCAGTAGGGAAAAGAAAGCAAATAAACTCCATTGAAACAGCAACCAACCGCTTCCTCTCCAGTGACCTTCCTCCAGGCATCTAAGCAGGTGGGCCCACCAGTGTCCCAGGGACTGAGGTTGGAGGGGTCATGACCATCTCCTATTGGCCAGACCATTAGCGGCTGAGACCCCAAGGCAGGGTCTGCTCAGCTGGGCTGGCTCCACCGGCATCCTCATGCCTGTCCTTCCAGTACACACACCACACGCAGTGCACGTAAGACTGACGGGAAAGCTTTTCTCAGTGCCGAGCTAGCAGAATCCAGTGCTGCTTTGGGAATGAAATGGGCAGATGAGGCACCAGAAGGGAAAGAAATCAGAAACTGCACCTGAGCCAGCCCTCAGTTCTCTTTCTGGAGCAACACTGAGGGCACCTGGTGAGGATGGGCTGTTGAACCTGGTGCACAGTGGAGACAGTCAAGTGCACACCTGGCATGTCCTCGGTGTGGGGAAGCGGCTAACGGCCGGGCTGTGGACTCAGACACGACTTTGAATCCTGGCCCTGCTTCACACCCGCTACGTGAACTCAGACCTGATTACTCAGCCTCCCAGAGTCTATAAAATCAGAATGGTGCACAGGCACGTGTTCCCAGCAGCTGGGACGGAGACTCTGGTGGCTGAAACCAGCTTGTGGATCCCGACTCTGCCGTTTCCTGGTGGGGTGCTCTCGGGCAAGTCACTTACCCTTTTTGAGTCTTGTTTTCTAGATCTATAGATAGGAAAAATACTAGACCCTTCCAAGTGGTCAAAAATCATTAAGGACCATCCACAGGTGTATGATTCTATCACATGTGATTCCATCCAGACAGTCTGGTCACGTGGATCTTGGTGCCTCCTGGTTTGCCCTCCCTGAGTCTGACTTGTCCTGAGGTTTTTATAAGTTGCTCCAGGACCCATATAACCAAATGTTAGGCTTTTATAAGTTGCTCCAGGACCCACATAACCAAATGTTATTTTAGCAGAGGCAGCTTTGATTCTTAAAAACATGTTTAATGAAAATCAAGCTCCTTCATAAACAAGCTAAGTGCCTACACATGGAGAGAGGGTGAGCTGGCCATGTGACACAGGTGCATGGCAGCCATCCCAATGGCTTTGAAGGCTTCGTCCCAATCAAAAAGTGCAGCCACAGCTCTTCTGCCAGCATCCGCTCAGCAGAGGGCATGTGGGCTCAGAACCCCGGGCATCAGGCCACTTGTCTCCTCAGCGCAGCAAGATGGGCCTAGGCCCAGACAGGGTTCACTTGGAGGAGAAGGCAGGAAAGTCACAGTGGCTGCACACAGCAGAGGGTCAGGATTCCTGCCTCTCCACCCGCTTCTCCTTGGGAGAAGAGCTCCAGCCCCTACTTCGGCATGACCCAGAAGACTGGGTTTAGCCAGGCAAGCAGCCACTGTGGTAAGGACACCCCTGAAGGCGGCAGTGGTACCCAGGGCTCTGCCGGGCTCAGTGTACCACAACTTTGGCATCACATTTTCATGGTGAGCCAGAGAGTGGAAATCAGCAGGGCCCTCCAAGAGCAGCAAGGGTAAACCCGCCAGGGGAAGGGAGGAAAGGCCTGAGCCAGCAAGAGGAAATAAAGGAAGTCGGCAACTCCTTCTGCTTTTTATCTCTATGGGGACGTTTGGGGACAGGTGGTCTGTTCCTGGAAGAGCAGGTTACCAGGGTTCGTAGGGCTGCCTGATCGCCACAGGCGTGTAAGCCACAGGGAAAGGCTGGCCAGCCTGCTGGAGCAGCAGCTAGGAGAGGTAGAGGGAGCCACGTGATCACATCACACAGACAAAATGCAGCCATATGAAACAACAGCTGAGAACTTCCCCTCTGTCTGCACAAGCGGCTTCAGCTGCCCTCCTTCCTCTCCTTCAGTTGCCTCCTGCCGTCCCCTCCCAAGCTCACATCCAGGTGGGGCTGCGTGGTAATAACAGGCGGATGAAGCCTACGCCATGTGGGGCGCCTGTGAGGGGGAACACTGAAGGCCCCCACCCTTGGTTTCCACGTTACAGGCTGCACTTGGGTCCCAGCTCGTGTGAACTGTCAGGATCTTCTGCCATATCCCTAGGGATTTTCAGGTGACATCAACCTGTATCTTCAGAGACAGCAGGAGCAGCACAGGGCAGCCAGGGAGGTGTGCATGGGGGACCTGAGACGCTGATGCCGAGAAGGGGTGCGGAAACCAAAGCCACCAAGCAAAGCAGATGGGCTGCCAGGGGCTGGAGACAGCAGGCCTGATGGGGAAGCAGCGAGAAGCGTGGGCTCCGAGCCCACAGGAAGTCTGTTGCTGACACCAGCCGGGAGCCCCAGTAGAGAGAGCTTCTGAGGGGAGGACAGACTGCAGCGCTGACTGCTCCGGAGCCCCTGCCCAATTCACTCCCCATCATGCAGCAGGGGCTGGAAAGACAGGCAGATGCACGGGGGTGAGTGACATGGCGTCACAACAGCCCCTGACCTGCAGGAGTCACACCAGGGCTGAGCTGCAGTGTGGTCCCCGCCCAAGCCACCAGATCTGTCAGGGAAGCCCCAAAGTCCCTCAGCCTGGTCACCATCTCACCACATTCTGTCAGGTGGCCGAGTGGCCAGGAACAGGCAAGACCTGCTGCAAGCACTCAACTTGTCACCAAGCTCCCGTCCCACCAGACTAGCCCCAAGGCTGGTAGTGCAGAAATCACTGTGTACTCCCATCATGCTCAAGCCCTTCCTTGAGGAAGATAAGGCCATACTTCACCTCACTAAATTCTCTGTCTACCCCCAATGGACAGGCCACAGGCCCCTGGTAGCCACAATCCCTGGGGCCTGCTGGTTTGATACTGGTGGTCCCCATCAGCCAACCTAACACCACCTTTGTGCTGCTTGGTTTCCCACCATGGTACTGGGCTGGTCTTCTTGGTGAAGCCCAAGCCTTTCCTGGATGACCCGTCTCTAGACCTGGCCCTACCCTACCCTGCAATGGGGACCAGGAACCCATACCTGTCTGTTGGTCAGGATCCCTGGCTCTGGGCGCTTCCAAGATGAAGCCAGAAGGATATAGAGCACCAACAGCCCAAAGATCACCACCAGCATCCCAGTGGTGTTGGCAAACACAGCCTCACTGGGCAGACTGGAGTAAGGCTTGGTGACATTTGTCCTGAAGATGAAAAAAACAATGACCCTCTAGAGACTTTTCCACCCGTTTTTACCCAGCAGGAGACTCACTGCCACTAAGATAGGGAGAGTCTTCCCAGAACTGCCTCTGACTTGGAATTACAGTTACCTTTTACCTCCTAAGTCCCTATGCCCAAAACAAAAATCTATAAAATGCTCTTTACCTATGAGAAAATTGAGGCTCAAAGCGGTGAAATTAATTTGGCCAAAGTTACACAACGACTAAACAGCACAACTAAGATCTAAGCCCAGGCCTGACCTAAATCTTACTTGCTTTTCATTGCCCCCACTGCCTCAAAAAAATGGAGGACAGGAGTGGTTAGGCATGCAAGCTCTGCAGTCAGACTGCCTAAGTCAAATCCCAGCTCTGCCACTGCTGGCTGTGTGCCCTTAGATAAGTTACTTAGCTTCTCTGTGTCTTGGTTCCCCAGTTTGTAAATGGCAATGACAACAGTACCAATGCCGTAGGGCAGTTGAGAGGATTAAATGTAAAGTACTTAGAGCAGTTTGACACACACACACAGAAAAACTAAACCAGTTGCCGTCGAGTTGATTCCAACTCGTGGCAACCCCATGTGTTGCAGAGTGGAACTGTGCTCCATAGGGTTTTCAATGGCTGGCTTTTTGGAAGTAGATTGCTAGGCCTTTCTTCCAAGGTGCCTCTGGGTAGATTCAAACCACCAACCTTTCGGTTAATAGCCCAGCGCTTGACTGTTTATGATTAAAAAAACAAAAACAAACAAAAACAAACAATCAAACCCATTGCCATTGAGTTGATTCTGACTCATAGTGACCTTATAGGACAGAGAAGAACCCCCCCCATGGTGGCACAGTGGTTAAGTGCTAAGCTGTGAAGTGAAAGGTTGGCAGTTTGAACCCACCAGCTGCTCTGCAGGAGAAAGATGTGGCAACCTGCTTCTGTAAAGATTACAGCCATTTATGAAAGTAGATGCTAAATCAATTTGATGCTCAATAAATATTTGCTGACCAATTTACCAATCTAAACTTAAAAAGAGACTAGTTCTATTACCTTCCACATCAGGAACAGGCCCAACGCCCAAGGCTCTCCTCTCTTGGATGGGTCCTGTGATCATAGCGTGTGTCTTTCAAAGACCCTATTCCCTCCCTTCCATCTTGGGATCAGGTGCCCCATCTCACTCACAAACTGAAGAAAAGCTTCTCATTAATGCCAGAAACGACAGACGCGATGGCCAGAGACAAGATGAAGGCTCCAAAGAAGACGTGGATGGGTTTAAGGAGGCTGCGCTGCCACGGGGACGCCCAGGGCAGGAGGAAGATGGTGAAGCCCAGGAACCACTGTGGACACGAGGGAGCAACTGACAGTGCTTTGTGTGGCCCAAGGCACACTGTCACCCACCCCCGAGCCTCCGACCCATCTCTGTATGGACTCTTCTTTCCCAACTCCAAATCCTCCCAGCAGGCATTGCCCTGCCATCACACTTAGCTTCGTCATTGTCCTCATTGTGGTCTGTCTGTTTCTATTACACAAACGTCAGAGCAACGACAAAAACACTAAACGGAATGCTTAGCTATAGTCCCACTGTCCCAGCAAACCCGACTGTTCATCTCTGCTTCCTTCCAGATGCTGCTCCTAAAACTCCTCCCTTGCATAGGGCTGACATCAGAATACGGAAACCACTTCTAGAATTGCTGCTGGTTCAAAAAAGGTCGGAGTGGGAAGGTGGGAAAGATGGCTGTTAGAGCCAGCACAGTGTGTGCTATGACCAAGTCAGCACAGGGGCCTCCAGGATGACAGATGGGCAGTGTGCCGGGGTGAGAGCAGGGGCAGGGTGATGCTCTGCTGACGCTACAGACGTGCCCTGCACAGCTCTCTCTAGGTAACGAGAAGAGTGAATATTTGGTGCTGATGCAAATGAAAGCTGAGCTGTGGGAACCTAGAGGAGGAGGGCAGAGAGAACTCACCTGGCAGGCAAAGAGGAAGACGGTGGTGATCCCCACCCAGCTGTGCAGGGAGTAGAGGTTACTGATATGTTTCTTGTTGTGAGCGCTAAAGACGGCTACCAGCCCCACCACCGTCAGTATGAAGGCCAGCAGGTGGAGGGCTGCGTGGAGGGCTTTCCAGGGCAGCTTGGGCCCCACCCAGGATTGGGGCACGCGGTACACCAGCGATGCTGCAGGAGAGAGCAGTCCCCAGGCTCGACCTCCCCCTACATCAGGGGAGCCACCCTGATATGATCCTACACAGCCTCCCAACACCTCCTGATGGGAAGAAGACGGAAATGCTAGGATGTCAGTATCAATTCCTCAGCATCTTCTTTCCTCCCATCAGCCATGAAGGAGGAAGAGAAGCGACAGTGATCCAAAGGGAGGAGCAGCTTCCTTGAACCTGCCATTCAGTCATTACAATCATAAACCTAGCTTGTGCGGAGTTTCGCAGGTAACAAACACTTTTACGTTTATTATTTTATCTAACTGATTCTCACAACCAAGATTAGTTGTCAAGGGTCAGACGATCTAGCAAATCCTGGTTCTGCCTGTTATTAGCTATTTGGCCTCTCTTCTCTAAGGCTCAGTTTCCTCATCTGTAAAATGGGAATAGCAATAAAGCCTACCTCACAAGTTTGTTGTAAGAACCAACTTAGATGATGTATGCGAAGTGCACATGGTAAGCTGCTATTTATCAATGTCATCATTATTCCCATTTTTACAAGTGGGAAAAATGAGGCTCACCTGGGCCCCAAGGCACAGTGCTGAATGCTTGGGGCAAAGATGGTAAAAGACAGGTTCTGGGTCTGGGAGGGGTACTAAGTAGATCTCTCACTCAGGGGCCTGATTCTGCCATGAGTGGCTTCAACTTCCTACTCCCTCGAGCAAGAATCAGCAAACTACACTGCCCAGGCCAGATCTGGCCCTGTATTTGTTAATGAATTTTTACTGGAACACAGCCATGATCACTCATTTATGAACTGTCTATGGCTGCTCTCATGATCCAATGGCAGAGTTGCAAAGTTGCAACACAAACCACATGGCCTGCAAAGCTTAAAATGTTTACTATCTGGCCCTTTTACAAAAAAGTTTGCTGACCTTGCCCTAGAGTACTCGTGAAACTGTCCTTCTCACATGCCTCCTTTCTTACCACTTCTTCCCCCAAATGACACTTGGGCCCAGTGACAGCTCAACCAATCCCACCCCCATAGCCCCAAACCCAACACTGACGAAGGCCAGCCCTGGAGAGGGAACGTGTTGGCCCATCCAGGCTCGGGCCATCTCATGCCTACCCATGCTGACCGCTTACTCACCAGCTCCGTAGAGCACCACCATGCCAGTAACCATGAGCACCGGGTGCCAGTTGAACCTGAGGTCGCTGACGTTCCAGGCAAAGCCATTATGCCAGTACCGCATCCAGTAGATGGTGAACAGGATGCAAAGCAAGCCCAGGGACCCCAACATCAGGCAGGACAGGTAAAACCGTCCCACAGCCATTCTGCTCTAGCACTTCTAGGAGAGAGGAGGAAGTCACATAACCCTGCTGGCTCGGCTGCACCCCACACACTGGCTAAAGGAGGCAATGCTGACCTCACTCTTGGCCAGATTTCTGGTTACAGACACTGAGTAAGCCCCACTGAGCACCTGGCCGTGCACAGGGCAGCAAGCTCAGGCTGTGGCTGGCCCTGGAGAGCACCTCTTCTGCTGCAGCCAGGTGCCAAGGCTCTGGGCCCAGAGCCCTGGAACTAATTCCCCTCACAGGCCATGTAAAGCTGGTTCTGGTTGGTAAAGAACCAGAAGGTAAAGAACCACCACCTAGAAGAACTGGACATCTGAATGAAAGAAGGGATGGGAATCAAAATCCAGCCTAGATCACAAATGCTCAGGCCCTCAGTTCTAAGGTAAGGAGGCAACGGCACCATCTGAAAGGAACACACACACACACTACTATAGGCTAGCTAGCTGTAAGTCCCACGGGCTCCCACTTCTACAGAAATGCTCTTCTCCAGATGAGGAACTTCCTGGGGACAAACCCTCTTATTGCAGAGGTAAGATCAGGCCCTCACTTCAGAGTCCCCACAAGCTGCATGTTGAATCAAGTGATACATTCAGCTCTCCCTAGGCCTGAGACTTCTGCTTTCTCTTCCTCTGTGGCAAGTCCAGAGGAGAAAGGAGGAAGCAAGAACTCACGGTCTAGAAAGCAGGAGGTTTATTTTGAGATTTCCACATGTACTTGATAAACTCAGAAGCCAACTGTGGTTCGGGTATGGCCCCTGTGCACCTGCTCTTAAAAGCCAAGCAAGTGGGCATGGGGGTTGGCAAGCAGGTATGCAAAGCCACAGGAATGCCCCTACTTTCAGCTAATGTGTTGGCAGCATGGGCCCAGCCCTCAAGGCAGTCAGCCAGGCCCATACATTCACACCAAGAAGGCGACAATATGGCTTCCTGCAATTGAGGTCCTTCAACTGGAAGCAGATAACAGAAAGAAGAGTCGGCCCCTAAAATATCCAATAACTCCCAAGGAGATAAAACACTTGGTTCCTCCCCTTTAAACCTAGTGGCAGGCTGAAAGAATAGTCACCTTGGCGGCAATTCTTATTAACCAATGCACCTTGAGCAAATCACTTAACACCTGTAGGACTCAGTCTTCTCATCTGCAAGAAAGACATGACAATAATAAGAATACTGTTTATAGAACTCCAGAGATGAACAAGGAGCCTGGGGGGTACAAGCAGTTTGTGATTGACTGCTAACAGAAAGGTTGGCAGTTTGAACCCACCCAGCATCTCCCTGGAAAAAAGGCCTGACAATATGCTTCCATACAGATTATAGCCAAGAAAATCCCATGGAGCAGTTCTACTCTGTAACACATGGGGTCACCATGAGTCAAGGGTTGACTCAACAGCAACTAACAACAGTTATGGATGACCAGATACCACACTAAAACCTTACACATATTATCCCATTTACTCGTCTTAACCCCGTGAGGTATTATCCCCATTTTATAGATGAGAAAATTTAGGCTCAGAAAGATTAATTAACTAGCGTTAAAAATCCATTGCCGTTGAGTTGATTCCAACTCATAGCGACCCTACAGAACAGCGTAGAACTGCCCCATAGGGTTTCCAAGGAGCACCTGGTGGATCTGAACTGCCAACCTTTTGGTGAGCAGCTGAGCTCTTAACCACTGCACCACCAGGGTGTTAGGACCCAGTAAATGGGTAAGAGTTTAAAAATCTGTCTGTCTGGCTTTAAGCCCCATGCTTTTTCCTTGATCACAGATTGTCAGAAGATCATGTAAGAAAATGAGTGAAAGGATATTGTGAGAGTAAAGTATTATACGCTTCTTAGTTACTGTTACAGCATTTCATCCCAACTACTAACGAAAACCTGAAGTTCGTGTTCCCTGTGCTCAGGGCTCTCAACGGCCTAGATTCCATACCATGTCAGCTCTCCCCATGCCAGGTGCTCACCTAAACCCAGAACAGACACTGGGCTCTCACAAGATGATCCACGTCGGCAGTAATCCTTAAGAAAGAGGCCCAAGAGCTGGAGGGGAAAAACAAACTCCTTTGAGGCTGGCAGAAGACAATCATCCCACCAGCTTCCTAGAAGCCTCGTGATTCAACTACTGGGCTCATGGATGTGCACCCAGCCTCAGAGCTGTTCCCTTAATTCCTGTAGGGCAGAGGAAGTTTCAGGTCACCAGAGACAAAAGCAAAGTAAATATAGCTCCCAAAGGACTGTATCCACCCCTAGAAGAGACGATTGCAGGAAGGGCCTGGATAACTGCTCTCTGAGTGACTTGGAATAGATAATGGGGAGAGTTTCTTAACAGAGGGCTCAGAGGTTATGTTATTCTGCTCACAGTGCACAGATAAGCCCTCCCTTTGCCTGAAATAAAAAGCAAAAGCAGGGAAAAAGGAAGAGTGAAGGCAGTGAACATTACAAATGCTTAGAATATCCTGTCATTTGTTCTAGGAGAGCAGGCTGTGTTATGATTTCAGGATGTGCACATCACGGTTTGGTCTCCTATCCTGCCCTCGTTTTGTAGAGCCCCATTCTAAGGCAGGGGTCAGCAAACTCTTCTACAAAGAAAGGGTCAGACAGTAAATATTTTAGGTTTTGCAGGCCATATGGTCTCTGCCACAGCAATGTCATCAATTCTGCTGATGTAATGCAAGGGTGGCCATAGACAAGTGAGCATGGCTGTGTTCCAATCAAACTTTTATTTAGACACTGAAATATGAAATCCATATAATTTTCACATGTCACAAAATAGTCTTATTTTGGGGCTCTTTCAATCAGTTAAAAATGTAAAAATTATTCAGGCAGGCCAGATTTGGCCTGTGCATTGCAGTTTGTCAACCCTCATCTAATAAGTCTACTCTCCAACCAAATATCTCCCCAATCCCTTGGTAGAAAGGATTCATCCTGGCTGAGCTAAAACAGATCAGGTTCAGGGGTAAGAAATGGGTACCTCCCATTCAGTGTTTGTTATTGTTAGATGCCATCGAGTCAGTTCTGACTCACAGCGACCCTATGTACAACAGAACGAAACACTGTCCCTCCGGTTCAGTGTTTACTCGTAGAAAAAGGCTGTTCCAGACTCTTACAATGTTACTTTAGAACTATAAACAGATAAAGGAACAGGTCATTTGTGACTCACCCTTCTCAGATGGATAAGGGAACTTGAGGAATCCTAAAAACCAGACTTGGAGTTCAAGTCATAAACCCTTATATTATGGTTCAAAATAGTAGGAGCCAAAGTGAGTGGCAGAGCAGGTACAGGGATCCAAGTCCACGCCCCTTCAGCTCCCAGGATTCCTCACGTCCAAACGTAGCTTTCTGTGAATTCAGGTGAGGAAGTTGGGACTCAGGAATGAAGAGTTCAGAATCCTAGTCAGGAGCTAGATAAGCAAGGTCCCCCTTAGCACCAGACTGATTACAAACCCGCCCTTCAGACTGTGTTCAGGTCTGGCTCAAATGACGGAAGAACAGTTCCAGAAACTTGGGGGCTGATTCCTGACTCCTCTGTTGGGTCCTTGGTCCCAGCTAACCTTGGATGAACATTAGGGCGAGGGGCCCCGCCTGCTGTCTTTCGTGTCTTTATAACCACCACCTGTGGAAGGAAGGGCACGGAGAATGGTGGCCATATTCTAAAAGAGAAAACTGCGACCGAGCGAGGGTTTTTGACAGCGCGAAGCGAGGTAGTAGCAGAGGCAGCACTTGAACCCACATCCCTGAACTCCCAGCCTGGGCTCTTTCTTACTCCTGAACCACACTGGGACGCAGGGAAGCCTCCTCCCTCCGAGATCCGCCTCGTCCCCACTCGGCGCTGCTATCTCCGGAGCCCCCGGGAAACTGAGCCAGGGCTGTCAAGGGCAGCCGCACACACCCGGCATGGCCGGCCCGCCCTCTTACAGCCTTGCAACACTTCCGGTCCTGCGCAAGGCCGCCTGGGAAATGAAGTCCAAGCCCCGAAGTTGCTGGAGGAGGCCAGCGGGCCAAGGTGCCGCCCTTTCCTCCCTTCCCTTTACTCCACGGGCATTTCTACCCCAAACCCGAAGTTCCAGGGACCAGGAGTGCCCCGACGGGCCTGCCTGTCCCTCAGCCCCCATCCCCTGGGAGCGGAAATTTTCGGGTCGACGCGAAGCCTCCCGGCGGCGGCTGGCTCTCAGCAGAGCTGCGCGCGGCGTGGGCAGGGAGGTCTGGTCAGCAGGCGGCAACGCTGGGGGAGCCAGGGAAAGGGTGGCCCAGGGCAGCGAGGGCCCAAACATGGCGACGAGCTGGCCATAGAGGCGGGAAAGAAAGCCGAAGACCCCTAGTAGAACGACGCGGACGGAGCCCGCGTCCCCCATCTACTTCCGGGACTTAAGACCGGTTTCCGGAAGCCAGGACGGTGTCCCCATGGTAACCGAGGACGGCTCTTTGAGGTGAGGAGTGAATGAGTAGTGGGTAAAGTGATCGAAAGTCAGGATTTTTGTTGTTGTTGGTTTTGTTTTTTTTGCGAAGGTAACCACATCTTTAAGTGGACTGGGAAGGGTGAAGAGGATTGGTCAGGGGATACAGGGAACGCGGCAGGTAGCAGTAGACAAACTGAAGAGCTTTTTGTTACCATGTGAATCACTACTGCCCTAAACTGAGTGGAACGGCGACGTGCGTGTCTATATAACGGATCGTCACAACAGCCCTCTGTGGTGGCCCGTGAGGTCCGGAGCGCCCAATAAGCAAGGTACGCACGGGCTGATTTGTGCGTACTTAGACTAATTTGTGCGTACTTACTAATGGTGAAACCCATGTGAAATCGTTCATTACAGATTAGTAAGTAATCATAAGTAATCCCGTGCATACCTTGCTTACTGGTTAATCCGCCCCTGCGTGAAGTAATGGTCAAGAGCCCTGGGCTTTGGCGTCAGACCTGGTTATGAATTCTGGCTCTGCTCACTTGCGAGCTGTATGACCCCGGCGGAATTAGGTGAACTCCCCAACCGTGTGTCCTCCTTGTGGAATAGGGATCATTCTTTCCCACCTTGCTGCGTTGTTGCGAGGATTAAAGGGAATTCTCTTGGTTGACAAGTTGTATATTGTGTCTGGTACATGGTTGATGGCTGTTATGGATTGAATTGTGTCCCCCCAAAATGTGTGTTGACTTGGCTAGGCCATGATTCCCAGGATTGTATGATTGTCTACCATTTTGTGATCTGATATGATTATCCTATGTGTTGTAAATCCTCAACTCTATGATGTTAATGAGGCAGGATTAGAGTCAGTTATGCTAATGAGGCAGGACTCAATCTACAGGATTAGGTTGTATCTTGAGTCTATCTCTTTTGAGATATAAAAGAGAGAAGGGAGCAGAGAGGAGAGGGACCTCATACCACCAAGAAAAGAAGAGCCGGGAGTGGACCTCTTACTTTGGACCCGGGGTCCCTGCTCTGAGAGGCTCCTAGATGAGGGGAAGATTGATGACAAGGACCTTCCCCAGAGCCAACAGAGACAGAAAGCCTTCCCGTGGAGCTGGCACCCTGAATTTGGACTTCTAGCCTCCTAAACTGTGAGAGAATAAATTTCTGTTTGTTAAAGCCATCCACTTGTGATAATTCTGTTATAGCAGCACTAGATAACTAAGACAATGGCTATCAATATTCTTTGATAAATGAGGAAACTGGGTTCAGAGAGATCACGTTCATACATCCAGGAAGCTGGGACTTCTACACCTGATGATGTGGACGAGGTTCCTTAACCTCTCAGAGCGTCAGTGTAAAATGTGAATTATAAGCATAGTAATGGCTACCCTTCAAGATGACTGTAGGATTAAATAAGATAAATATGAAAAGAGGTTGCAAATTGCAAAATACTCTGCAGATGTTAATCACTCTCTAGCACTTCAAAGCATTTTAAAATTTGATTATCGATTTGATCCAGCAGGGGTCACCGGACACTCCTCCCCCAGCAGCTTCTGGACCTTGGAAAATATGAAAATAAAGGCCCAGGTCCCTTTACCTGAGTCACTGTGTTGCTACCATAACCTGAAAGATTTAAGTTTTACAGGAGAGCAATATTTCCTCTCAGCTTTTTCTGCCTCCACCACTTCCCACTTCCTTCTCCTGTGCTAACATTTTTGCTCCCTGGTTACTTATCGGCCTGTCAGTAATACAAGGGCTGCGTAGTGCAGTGGCTAAGAACACAGACTCTGGACTCAGACTGCCTAGATCTGAGTCTCAGCTCTGCCACTTACTAGCTATGTGACCGTGGACAAATTATTTTACCACTTTGAGCCTCAGTCTTCTCATCTCTAAAATGGGGAACATAATAGTGTATCTCTACTTGTGGGGTTATTGTGAGGCTTAAATAATGCTAGTGCTTTCAACAGTCCCTGGCACATTGTAAGTGCTGTATTAGGGTTTGCTGCTATTATAATTTTCATTGTTATCTGCCCAGACAGTTACTCTTCTCTATTGTTCCCCTAGATTCCTTTGAATTCAAGAGCTTTGGGTTTAGAAAGTTCGAGGCATGGAGAAAGATTTGCGGGTGAGGGTCCCTAGAAGCGGGGCTTCAAATTGGTTTGTTGTAGTTCGAACCCATGCTGAGAATTTGCATTTCCACCCCAGATTTACTGGATCGGAATCTACATTTTAACAAGATTCCCTGATGATTCTTATGCATAATAAAATTTGAGAACCACTGCTCTACTAGTGGAGCCCTGGTGGCACAGTGTTTAATAGCTCAGCTGCTAACCAAAAGGTCAACAGTTTGAATCCACCAGCTGCTCCTTGGAAACCGTATGGGGCACTTCCACTCTGTCCTGTAGGGTTGTTATGAGTTGGAATTGGCTCGACAGCAATGAGTTTTTTTTTACAGGCTCTACTAGTGGTTCTCAGAATTGGTCCCTAACCAGCAGCATTTGCATTGCCTGGGAACTTGTTAGAAATTCAAATTATCAGCAGGGGTTGAACTGTTTTGAAACCCTGCCTAGGAGCGACTAGAGTAGTTGGGTGTTGTCGGTTTTGTTTTCTGATGCATCCCAACCACCTAGAGTGTACCTGGCACACAGTAGGTCTTCAATAAATATTGTGTTGTTGTTAGGTGCCATTGAGTCGCTTCCGACTGATAGTGACCCTATAGGACAGAGTAGAACTGCCCCATAGGGTTTCCAAGGAGCGGCTGGTGGATTTGAACTGCCAGCTTTTTGGTTAGCAGCCAAGCTCTTCATTAACCACAATGCCATCACCAGGGCTCCAGCATTTAGTGTATTAATGTTTGTTTGTTTTTTTTAACATTTAAGTGAAAGTTTACAGAGCAGATTAGTTCCCCAGTCAACAGTTTATACACAGCTTGTTTCATGACATTGGTTGCAAACCTCTGAATGTGTCAGCACTCTCCCCCGTTCTTCCTTGGGTTCCCTGTCTCCATTTGCCCAGCTTTCCTGCCCCTGCCTTCCTTCCGAACCTTGCTTTTGGGCAAATGATGCCCTTTAGGTCTCTTGTAGGTGATTGTTCTGAGGTGTACATTCTTCACTGGTGTTATTGTTCATTTTACAGGCCTATCTATTATATGGAAACCCTGGTGGTGTAGTGGTTAAGAGCTACGGCTGCTAACCAAAAGGTCAGCAGTTTGAATCCACTGGGTGCTCCTTGGAAACCCTATGGGGCAGTTCTACTCTGTCCTATAGGGTTGCTATGAGTCGGAATCGACTCAACGGCAAGGAGTTTGTTTTTTTTTTTGTTTGTTTGGTTTGGTTTTGGTCTATTATATGGCTATAATATGATCTCCAGGAGTAATTTCAGTTCCAAGCTTGAACGGTGTCTAAGGTCCGTAGTCTCTCGGGGTTCCACCAGTCTCTAGCAGACCAGTAAGTCTGGTCTTATTCACGAGTTTGAAGTTTATTCTACATTTCTCTCCCACTCTGTCCATGACCTACTATCATGGTCCCAGTCAGAGCAGTTGGTAGCGGTAGCCAGACACCGTCTAGTTCTTCACAGGCTGGTGGATGCTGTTGTTCATGTGGTCCTTAATCCTTTGGACTAATTGTTTCCTTGAGTCTTTGGTTTTCTTCACTCTTCTTTGCTCCAGACAGGAAGAGGCCAATTGTTATATCTTAGATGGCTGCTCGCAAGCTTTTAAGACACTAGTCGTTACTCACCAGTGTAGGATGTAAAACATTGTCTGTATGGATTATGATACGCCAGTTGACCTAGATGTCCCCTGAGACTATGGTCCCTAGCCCTCAAGCCCAGTATTTCAGTCCCAGGAGGTATATGGTTATGGCTAAGAAGTTTTCATGACTGTGTCCCCTGTGTATACTATTGCATATATGGGTATATTTGTACCATGTGCATGTGTGTGTGCTTCATATGCCCTCCCACCCTGTACAGCTTACATATCTACCTATGTATCTATTCGTACATTATTGTTTGTTGTTACTGTTGCAGGATTGTATATGTATTAGTATTTACTGTTGTTGCCTTTTACTCTTGCATACCTTTCAGTGTCTTTACCTTGATTATATTGTGCTAACTCCCCCCATATTGTGTATTATCTCTCCTGTCACCAAAGGTAGTAACATTATTTCTAACCTCTTCTTTCTTGTTACCCCAACAGGCCCTTGCCTTAGTGCAAGAGAAACAGTTCTGATTTGGAGGAACTAGGTGCCTCTCCCTCAGTGCTGAGGAGAAATCTGGCGGCTGTTTTCTGGAAAACTGTGGAATGTGCCCTTGGAGGCCCAAGAGAGCAGAAGGAAGATGCTCCAGACCAGTAACTACAGCCTGGTGCTCTCTCTGCAGTTCCTGCTGCTGTCCTATGACCTCTTTGTCAATTCCTTCTCGGAGCTCCTCCGAATGGCTCCCGTCATCCAGCTGGTGCTCTTCATGTGAGTTCAGTGGGTGGGTCTGGAAAGGTGAACCCAAGCAGTTTGAGGCCTGACAGACCTGATTTAGCATTTTAAAGGTATTAACAGAGAAATATCAGGGATAATAAAATTTAGCATCATCCTGAGTACTCCATGGTGCATAGATATGGTCACAGGTCCTGTTTTTATATCCTTCTAACAGGGGTTGGGGATAAGGGCAATAGTTCACATAGGAAGTAAGGGACAGAGTGCTGACCCCATCATTTTCCCCATCTGTGAGTAGAAGTATTATCTTCCATTGCCACGAAAGAGGATTACAAAACGGCCGGCTAAAAAAAGGGCAATTATAGGATGACTCCATGGGACTGAAACTGTTGGCATTTATCCTCCACCATGATTTCTAGATGATGAGTTCAGTTTCTAAACTGAAAACCACAGTCTTGGACACAATCTCCCTTTATTCACAAGTATTCTTTGGCTTGCCAGACACTGTTCTGGTCGCATGGTAAACCTGACAAGTTCCTGCTTTTGTGGGGCTTATTTCTAGAGGAAAGAGACAATGGATATATAAACAAAAATAAGTTCAAATAGTGATAGATGTTATACAACAAGTATAAAGTAGCTGGGGTGGGGAGGTAAGGACTACTTGAGGCAACATGGTTAAAGGAAAGCCTCTCTGAAGAGTGGACATTTGGACTGAAACTTGAATGGCACTCAGGAGCCAGCCATGCAAAAATCAGGGGGAAGGGCATCGTGGTCTTGCTAGATGAAACTGATGGGACCAGGTTATGTGACAGGGCTGGCATTTGCTGGATATAAGGAGGATATAAGCTTCTCCTCAAAAGTACCTAGTAGGTATATTGAGTCAAGAGTGTCAGAGCAAGAAAGCCTTGTCTGTGAACTGCATTTCAACTGATGGAGCTAGCAAGTAATTGTAGCTTGATATCGTTTGGGTCCCAAAGCCCATGCTGTCTCGGGGGGGTTTCAGATGACTATATCCCAAGGAAAGGACAGACTTCATGGTTCCCCCAGGATTTAGGGCCAGCACTGGGTCCTCACATAGACCTCCATTTGGCTGTATCTTGTCTTATTGTGTCTGCAGCATCCAGGATATTGCAATCCTCTTCAACATCATCATCATTTTCCTCATGTTCTTCAACACCTTCGTCTTCCAGGCTGGCCTGGTCAACCTCCTGTTCCATAAGTTCAAAGGGACCATCATCCTGACAGCTGTGTACTTCGCCCTCAGCATCTCCCTTCACGTCTGGGTCATGGTAAGAGTGCAGCTCTGAATTCTCAATCCTGAAAGGGCTAGCAGTCGCTTTCTTCCGGGAACCCAGCATAACATAAAGCATCCTATGAGAAGAATCATTCTTTTACCTCTCACAGAATCCTGGATAGGAAACAGGTGAAATCAAAGTGGTCAGATCCAAAGCTAGGCACAGAAAGTTTCATGAGGCACTTTTTTTGCCCAACATTATGTGTGGAAGAACAGCGTTATCCAAGAGTCGAGGACATTTCTTGAACATTCAGTCTACCTGTGCCCCTACCAGGGCTAAAACAAAAAGTTAAATCTGTTTCATTGGCTGTTATGGCGTGTGGGTGCTAATTCAGGGTATTAGGCATCAGTGTCCGGTGACTAGTGCTGCAGGCAGGGAATGTTGCTGGAAACTAGCCAGTCAAGAGTGCCCCCTGCTTCGTCCCCATCTCTTACATTAGGAGGACCGGCCTTTGCTCTAACATAGGCCTCAGGGCAGATCCAGTTTTCATGGTCTCAGATTTCTTCTGCTTCACAAATTCTTCCATCTCTTTGGGTCTCATCTGCTTCTCATGTACTCATTTTGATTGAACGCCTTAAAACCTCAGGGCCTTAAAACCTAGTCACCTTTTTTCTGAAGCCACCTTCTTAGACTGAGGTTGCCTTGTGACTCCATGGGAGAGCAGAGTTGACAGGAAGGCGGCAGAGCAGTGCCTCCAGGTGCCTCCTGAAGAGGACTGTCCGGGCTCTGGTTCCTGGAGCCAAAACAGGCGCTGGCTGTGCCGTAAAGCTGGTAATCTGATTAAACCCTTAGTGCACCGAGCCTTTATCTGACAGGAGCTGAGCCTGAGATTTTCAAGGCTGAACTCCTGAGAATCATTTCCCCTTGGCACAGGTTATTGAGTGAAAGAGGATAAATTGCTTAGTTCAAACTTCCTCCCTCAGGGTTAAAGGGATATTCCCTTTGCAGCATAAAAGGGAGCTGGGTCTCCTTTGAGAAGCATTCCTTGGGGTTGTGGACAGAAAAGAGAGTTAAGATTAGCATGATTTTAAACCAAGTGGGATATCTGCAGCTAACCAAATTGGAGATATTTGGGTCTCATCTGGCCTTTCCCTGTCTCCTCATATCTCCTTCAGAACTTACGCTGGAAAACCTCCAACCGCTTTGTCTGGACAGATGGACTTCAAACACTATTTGTATTTCAGAGACTAGGTAAGGACCAGACCAACCTCAGGCTTAACCTCGATCTCACATATGGCTCTGGCAGTGAGGGCCTTGGCCCTGGCTCCTCAGCCCCTCATAGGTGGTATGGGATGGTTGGGACAGCCCTGTCAACACTGATACCACAAGCAGGAGAGGTTACAACCCTCTGCCCTTGCTGGGAGATGGTGGGAAATCAGGAGGCAGGCCCCTCAGCCTCTTTACCTGTTCTTACCCTGAAATGAATACTCAGGGGCTCTGTTCTGTGTCTTACCCACAGCGGCAGTGCTATACTGTTACTTCTACAAGCGGACAGCTGTGAGGCTGGGGGATCCTCGCTTCTACCAGGACTCTCTGTGGCTGCGCAAGGAGTTCCTGCAAGTCCAAAGGTGACCTCTTCTCGTCCCACTGATGGATGCTTCTCCTTCCTGCCAGAAGCCACATTTGCTGCTCTGAAGTGGGGGGGGGCGGGGCGGGGGTTGGCCCTGTGCATAAGGAAGCAGGCTGGCTTTCCCAGGACAGGCTCAGGCCAGTGTGTTCAGCGTTGAAGAAGGAAGAGCCTCCCTCTTGCACACTGCCACGTCCCCCGTACAGACCCCAGTACTGCCCTCCTGCCTCACTTCTTTCCCCCATCCTTTCCTGCTCCACTTCTTTCCCCCATCCTTTCCTGCTCCGTACTCTCCGCTTCTCTGAACTCTTACATACAGAGAGCTCTGTGGCTCCTTCTGTTTAGGCTGGTCCAAAACCTCCCAGCACCCACTTTCCTGGCACGACATACTAATGACTGAAGGGTGCAAAAGTGATATATGTGTGTTCCTGACTGATCACCCCTTAGACCCTTAGATTTTATACCCAAGGCACTTTCTTTTAATGTTTTCTAAATAGGAAATAAATGGATTTTTTTCTATAAATGGTGGACTCTATCATGTCATGTGTGCCAAGTCCTAGCCTCAGCATGTACTTGACTCAGTGGGAAGAATGTGCCACAAATCAAATACAGATATTTATTGAGCCCCCTTCTAAGTACAAGGTCTTTTTGAGACATTCAAGATGTAATGCAATGCCCCACCCCCACTCCTGGAGCTCCAGACTTCTGTGCTTCGTTCCGATTCTCCCTCCCTATCAGAAACCTAAACTGCCTTCAGAAGAGTAAAAATTTTCCTTTGTCTGCTTTGGCAAGAGTTGTTGTCGTTGTTAGGTGCCGTCGAGTTGGTTCCGACTCATAGTGACCCTATGGACAACAGAACAAAACACTGCCCGTCCTGTGCCATCCTCACTATCATTGTTATGCTTGAGCTCATTGTTGCAGCCACTGTGTCAATCCATCTTGTTGAGGGTCTTCCTCTTTTTCACTGACCCTCTACTTTACAAGCATGATGTCCTTCTCCAGGGACTGGTCCCTCCTGAGAACATGTCCAAAGTATGTGAGACATAAATTCATATGTATTCGTTTCCTATTGCCAGAATAATGTATAACAAACCACCACCAAACGTCAGTGACATACAATAATAAACAGTATTTTGGCTTTCGAGTTTATGGGGTTCAGCTGATCTGGGCTGGGTTCAGATGATTTCAGCTGGGCTTGCTAATGTGCCTGTGGGCAGCTGTGGGTTGGCTAGGTGGCTCTGAGGAACTGGGTCAGGCTCATTCACATGCCTTGGGAATCGGTCAGGTTCGAACCCCTACTGAGAATTTGCATTTCTAACCAGTTCCCAGGCAATGCTAATGCTGCTGGTTAGGGACCAATTCTGAGAACCACTGGTAGGGCAGTGGTTCTCAAAGTGTATTATACATAAGAATGACTTGAGGATCTTGTTATGCTGTAGATTCTGATCTAGTATATCTGGGGTGGAAATGCAAATTCTCAGCAGGGGTTCCAACGAGAACAAACTGGTTCGAAGCTCTGCTTGGGATCCTTTGGTTGTTGGCTAACCTAGGATGGCCTCAGCTGGAATGACTGTGCTACTCAGCTCTGGTTCACATGACTCGTCCTTGAGCAGACTGGCCTGGCTTCACAGCAGTAGCAGAGGGGCAAAAGCAAGCAAGCCCCAGTGTGCAATCCCATTTCAGGCCTCTGCTTGTGTCTCTTAATCTCCCGTTGATCACAGCGAGTCATGTGGCTGAGCCTAGAGTCAGAGTGAGAAAACAATACAAAGTTTCATGGCAAAAGGCATGGATACAGGGAGAGGTGAAGAATTGGGTCATTAATTCAGTCGGTCTACCACACCATAGAGTTACCCTATGACACTCATTATTCAGACATGCTTTAGAGCTGGGGTTGGCAAACTTCTGTGAATGGTCAGATAGTAAATATTTTAGGCTTTGCAGGACAGTCTCTGTCACAACTCTGCCGCCATCGCACGAAAGAAGCCATGGACAATACATAAGCGCAGGAGCACGGCTGTGTTCCAATAAGACTATTTATGGACACTGAAATGTGAATTTCTTGTGTCACAAAATATTGATTTTTGTTCAACCATGTGAAAATGTAAACACATCCTTAGCTCACGGGCTGTACGAAAGCAAGCAGTAGATTGGACTTGACCCACAGGCCACAGTTTGCCAAACCCCGCTTTAGAGGCTGGGACACTTCATCTCCCCACTTCTGTCTCCCAGTCTCCCAGCCACTGAGTTCCTTCCCCCTCCTTTCCTTGACAATCTGTACTGTATGGTTCTAACAGAATAAACAATGTAAGACCATTTCAGAAATTTTTATACAGAAAAAATTTCCATAATCCTATCCCAATCATTTATTTCAAATCCTTAACAATATACACATTTCACACACATTTTTGATTATGGGGAATATGCCATAAAATATATCTTTTTTCACTTAGCAGTTGTTGTTGGTGTTAGGTGCCATCAAGTCAGTTCTGACTCATAGCGACCCTATGAACAACAGAACGAAACACTGCCTGGTCCTGCGCCATCCTCACAATTGTTATTCTTGAGCCCACTGTTGCAGCCACTGTGTCAATCCATCTTGTTGAGGGTCTTCCTCTGTTTCGCTGACCCTCTACTTTACCAACTATGATGTCCTTAGGAATATGTTTTTAAGATATGATATAAATTGACTCCTTGGAACAGTCAGCTTTCCAAATTCAGAAGGAAATAAGCAGTTTGAAAATGCTTAAAGACTTCCACTTTCCGTAGGATGACAGTCAGGAACTAGAAAAGCCAGATGAAATACAAAAATCATCGTTTTAAAGGCTTCAGAGGGCTGTTGAAGTAAGAAGGATCAGAAGGCCTAAAATTTTAGAGTAGGGAGAAGCATAGAGAAATGAGCTGATGATTTGCAGATTTTTTCCCCCGGGGCATTTACTGATTCTGGGTTTCAGCAAGAGATGAAGAATCCTAGCATTGCCCAGACACGGTTGCAGCCGGGGAACAGAGAAGGCAGCTAAACTCTCAGTGGGCTCTTAACACTGGAGTGACAAAGCTGGGGACTGGAAGACCCTTAAAACAAATTTCTCCTCAATTCTGAAGCTGTGTAGGGACAGAGGCTATGAAAAGCTAAGCCTCAAGCCTCTGAAAAGCAAAGTAGAATTTTTGACAGTCTAATGTCCCTGGTGGCGCAGTGGTTAAGCACTCTGCTGCTAACTGGAAGGTTGGCAGTTCAAATCTACTAGTTGCTCCACAGGAGAAAGATGTGGCAGTCTGCTTCCGTAAAGATGACAGCCAAGAAAACTCTGTGGGGCAGTTCTTCTCTGTGCTATAGGGTTGCTGTGAGTTGGAATCGGTTTGATGGCAATGGGATTTTTTGATAAAAGTCATCCATAGAATCAAGATTCTCTGAAGCTCCAAGCAGGATAAACACAAGTAAGAACTACACCTAGAGACTTCGGCTTCTAATACTGGCTGAGTAAGATCCTACGGGAACGGCCCCTCCACAGATAACAACTGTAAAATCTGAACATAATACAAAAAGCAACTACTTGATGACAACAGAGAGTGCAGGGACGCAGAAAGTCCGATGAGGAGTCCACACTCAGAAGAGGAGACTTATGCAGAGAAAATTCCCTATTTCTGCTGCTTCTAGCTTGGTAGCAGGCAAAGTCAGCATGTATGGCATGATGGTGGAACAATCACAGTCCCAGAGTACTGAGCTGGGGCAGTTAAAGCCATTGGAGAAAACGATGGGAGTCTCAGAAGGGAAAAAGCCAGAGAGAGGGAATCTTCCAATTCTGTGTGCCCACATCTCTGCCCAACCCGTGAACCACACATGTGCAGTACAGACTCAGAGCAGCTCAGCTAAAGACAGAAGATCTAAACTGAGCCTGGAGTTGCCACTCAGTAAACGTAACTGCAGTGTGAATCCAACCAAGCTCATTACCTAATAAAATAAACTTTACTCTTGAGAGAAAAATAACAAAAGTCAGCCTCCACAACCTAACATTCAAAACTGAGACCTATACTGAGATGAACCAGATATTGAAATGACCAGACAAGGATTCTAAAGCATCCATGAAGATATGTTCTCAGTGAATAAAAAGATAGGCAACTTCAACAGAGACACAAATGATTTTTTTTAAAAACAAAAAACTTAAAACTAAAAAATGCAATAACTGAATTTTAAATTTCACTGAATGGATTTAACAGCAAAAGAAGAGAGAACAGAATAACAAATCAACAAACTAGAAGATACACTAGTAGAAATTATCCAAGCTGGAGAACAGAGGAAAAAAAACCAGCTCAGGAACTAGTTAGATAATATCAGTCTAACATATATGTAATTGGACCCCCAAAAGGCAAAGAGAGAAATAATAGTGCAGAAAAAATATTTAAAGAATAAAAATTTAAAAATGAAAATTCCCAAATTTGATGAAAGACAGAAATGTAGAGATTCAGGAGGCTCAACAAATGTACCTCAACAAGCACAAAAAGGCCATCCAAGGCACGTATCACTGTCAAATCATGGAAAGATGAAGAGCAAATCTTGAAAGCAATGAGAACAACAACACACTACATACAGAGGAACACAATTCAGTTAACAGCTGACTTCTCACTAAAGATCAGAGGCCAGAAGAGAGTATAACACCAATTCAAAGTGCTGAAAAAAGAAGGAAAAAAAAAAAGGTCAAATCAGAGTTCTATATTCAGCAAAAATATCCTTCAAGAATGAAGTTGATGGCCATCTAAGATACTTCACTGGTCCCACCCCATCTGGAGCAAGAGAGAATGAAGAAAATCAAAGACACAAGGGAAAGATTAGTCCAAAGGACTAATAGACCACAACTACCACAGCCCCCACCAGACTGAGTTCAGCACAACTAGATGGTGCCTGGCTACCACCACCGACCGGTCTGACAGGGATCACAATAGAGGATCCCGGACAGAGCTGGAGAAAAATGTAGAACAAAATTCTAACAACAAAGACCAGACTTACTGGTCTGACAGAGACTGGAGAAACCCTGAGAGTATGGCCCCCGGACACCGTTTTAACTCAGTACTGAAGTCACTCCTGAGGTTCACCCTTTAGCCAAAGATTAGACAGGCCCATAAAACAAAACGATACTAAATGGGCACACCAACTCAGCGGCAATGACAAGAAGGCAGGAGAGGACCGGACAGCTGGCAATGGGGAACCCAAGGTCGAGAAGGGGAGAGAGTTCACACGATGTGGGGTTGGCAACAAATGTCACAAAACAATGTATATTAATTGTTTAATGAGAAAATAATTTGTAAACCTTAATCTAAAGCACAATAAAAAATAAAAAAGAAGTTGACATAAAGACATTTTCAGATAAAAAGAAAGCAAAGAGAATTAGTTTTCAGCACTCCTGCACTTTGAAAAACACTCTGGGAGGTCTTTGGCCTGAAGAGAAATGACAACAGATGAAAACTCAGCTCCTCAGAAAGGAATGCAGAGCATAGGCAATAGTATATGGGCAAATTTACAAGATTCTTTTTCTTTTTTTTTTCCAGTTAATTTCTTTATAATACATTTGAATGCAAAATTCAAGTTCTTTGCAAGTACACAGAATATTGCCCAGTATAGACCATATGCTGGGCCATAAAACAACTCTCAATAAATTTAAAATGATTAAAATCATAGAGTATGTTCTTTGACAATAATAGTATCAAGTTAGAAATCTGTAACAATAAGATATTTAGGTGATTCGGTCTGGGTCCATTCAGGGGACAGAAACCACATAGTAATTTAAACATGGGAAGTTTTAATACAAGTAATTATTAAAGTATGATAGGAGAGGAATTATCGAGATGTAAAGAGACTGCTAAAGGGTACCTAAGGGCTGAGGAAGAATAACCCTCAAGGAAGGACTAACTTGGCAGGGCTTCCCCACCCCCAAGGCTGGGGTTCAGACCTCGCTGTAGCCCACTGGGTGGTGGTGAAGTTCACTGGTTTGCACCACCCAGAACGGGTTCACAGTTGCTGGACAAGTAGGAAACAACCCTCCAGGGAGCAGGGAAGCTGAGGGTGGTGGGCAGTGTGCAGGGAATGTGGGGACACCACCTGTAGGCACAAGGTCAAGAGTGCATGGTGTCCACTTTAGGAGGACCCCAGAAAAAAAAAAAAAAACCCTGTGGACCTCAGGTGAGTCAAGGCTGTTGGGCAGGTGCATCAAGGCAGTTGGCACATGCCTGTGTGCACAAGGACTGGAGTGTCCCGTGTCCACACAAGGCATGGTGGGTCAGGGGAATCAACCTCTGGGAAGCAGCAGAGCTGAGGCTGCTACAATCTTCTAGGGTGCAGGTGAGCTGAAGTTGGTGAGCAGACACACAGAGGAAGCTGGGGTACCCCTGTGGGTGTACAGTGTCCATGCCTGGAGGGCTTTAGGAAAAACCATCCAGGGCATAGGCGAGCCAAGGCTCAGGGGCAGATGCGCAGAAGGAGTTAAGGAGCTGCCATTGGGTGTAAGGCCTGGAGCATGTGGTAACCCTGACAGGAGGGCCATGGCAAGCTGATCACTGAGCCTGGACTGGGTCTGTGAGGTGGCCAGAGGGGTGCCTGCTCTTGGCGTGTGGACTAGAGCAGAGCACCACCAAGTGTCTCCCCACACACATGCACCGCTAAGGGACCCTGGAGCAGGAGCAAAAAAAAGCAAACCGAGTACACAGGAACCAGGAAGATTAGCCTCTTTTTCCTGCAATGTCCCTCCAGTGCCCTCTACTGGCAAAGCTTAACATCATGCTTACTGTAAGGGAGTCCAGTCCATTGTCACTGAACAGGCACTGAAGAGTGAACCTGGGGCTGAGAGGAAAAAACCAAGTATTTAGAAATTAAACAACACACTTCTGAATAATCCAAGGATCAAAGAAGGTAGGAGAGAAATTAGAAAATACTTTGAACTGAATGAGAATGAAAATACAACCTATCAAAATGTGGGATGCAGCTAAAGCACCACTTAGAAACGTATAGCTTTAAGTGTTACATTAGAAAAGAAGTTCTAAAACAATGGTCTAAGTTTTCACCTTAAACTACAAAAAAAAAAAAAGCAAATTAAACTCAAGGACTTGTCCCTCCTGATAACATGTCCAAAGTATGTGAGATGAAGTCTTGCCATTCTCCCTTCTAAGGAGCATTCTGGCTGTACTTCTTCCAAGATAGATTTGTTCATTCTTCTGGCAGTCCATGGTATATTCAATATTTTTCACCAACACCATAATTCAAAGGCAACAATTCTTCTTCAGTCTTCCTTATGCATTGTCCAGCTTTCATATGCACATGAGGCAATTGAAAATACTACGGCTTGGGTCAGCTGCACTTTAGTCCTCCAGCTGCCATCTTTGCTTTTTAACACTTTAAAGGGGTCTTCTGTAGCTGATTTACCCAATGCAATACGTTGTTTGATTTCCTGACTGCTGCTTCCATGGGTGTTAACTGTGGATCCAAGTAAAATAAAATCCTTTACTCCCCATAAGCTATAGATATTACCACCACCTTCCTTCTAGAAATGAAACATCTGAGGCTCAGAGCAGGAACCTAATTCCAATGTCTAGCAGGCAGTGGAGATGAGTGTGCTAGACTGATCCTAAATAATTGCATCAAAGGGCTCCCCTGCCCTCCAGCTTGCAGTTAAGTTCAGCCAATGGGAGGCACAAGCAGAGAGCAGAGTAGGAGAGAGGAAGGAGAATGAGGTCGGGTGTTTATCTACCAGCCCCCCCAACACTGTCACAGCTCCTGACTGGAGGCATTCTCCATACACACAACTCTCTCCAGGTTACGGGAATCACTTCTACCCTTTCCTTTAAGCCTAGGGGTAACAATTACTGCCTCCTCCTCACCCCTCTCCCCCAGCCAGGGGTACTGCACGTTCCCTTGAAGGTTAGTCAGTCACTCTCCTCCAAATACCTAGTTAAATGTGCCATCTGTTTCCCAGCCTGAGTCCACTCAAAGCCCGCCACCCAGAACTACCGCAGCAACCTGCTTTTACAGCTCCAAATCGCAGCCAGGCTTCAAAACCCAGCTCACAAGCCATCTCTTAAAAAATTCCTTCAATCCCCACCTGGGAATACTCTGTCCTTTCAACCCCCACTGCACTTTATGGGTCACGTGGTAATCACATTTCCTCTTCATATGTTATTTGTGCTCTTTGAAAGAGCCTCTATGTCCCACTCCTTTCATTGTGACTACCTGGCACGTAAACCTGCCGCACCAAAGACCAACGCTAAACCTTGCGTGAGGAACTTTCACATTTTGAGGTGCTGGTGGGTCTAATTGGGAAGATTTCAGAACTAAAATTAAGTGCTTCATTCAGAAATTAAATTGACGGTTTTTCTTCTACACGCCTGATAACCATTCGGCTTCTGTTAAAGTTTCCATTTGAAAAACAAAGCGCAGCCGTGCTTTTTATGTAGTGTTCCCGCAGCTGGCCTTAGAAAAAGCTTCACTGAGTTGTTAAAATAAATTAGAGCCTATAGATAAACATGTTGTTTTAAAGAAGTTCCTAGCAAGCGCCTAGACATTATCTTTTCTCTCAGCTAAGTAAGCAGAGTTTATTTACAGTTTCCTAACTAACGGTCAGTTCTCTATCCAAAGATTCTAATTAAGTTGGCCCAGCTGCAAATATATCGCTAAACTTTGATGTCGAAATTGTTTATACTTTTCATTTTAGAAATACTGCCTTAGTTAAACTGTATCGAGTATGAGAGATTTGTGTTAGACTAGAAACTGATGCAAAGAACGTTTCACAGTTAATCGCCACCCTTGTAAATCTCACCTCCTTTCCCGCCATTGCTTTGATGAATAATTGTTGCCTCTACTCACTCTACTTGTTAAATATCTCTATGTTTTGCTTGTAAGGCAGGGCATACCGTTACAGCCAAACTGAACGCATGCTCTCCCGGGGTTCATTCCTTCAATAAATTTAATCTGTTTAAATATCAAATTGAGGTGTTGGTCCAGTGACTTTACGAGGACAACGCAACCCACATTTGCAGAGGCATCTTTGCGCAGTCTCTCAGCCCTCCAGCGTTTGTTAGAAAAAAGAATTGTGGCTCTAGGGCCTATCTGCCAATCCTCAGGCCACACTGTCACAACTTCAGTCCAACGCAGTGTAACCCGTGGGGAGTTGGGGGCGAGAGCTGCCCCTGTACCCTCGGGCCCTGCGGACGACGGCTTCGCTGGCGGTCGCTGTTCTCGGTGACACTCCGGAAGCCGACTGAACTCGGTCCTCAAACCATTAGCGGCCACCTCCCGGCGCATGCCCTGTCCGCACCGAGACGCTCGCCCCAGGGAACCATAGAGTACGGTGGGCGGGCAGAGGAGCCAGCCCCCGCCGCTCCGACCTCCGCTTCCGGCAGCGCCTCGCTGCCCCGGGAGCCGCTGTTCCCGCGTACGCAGTTTCCATGGGGACTGAAGATGGCGCCGCGAGGTGAGATCCCAGAGGTGTGTGAGTCGCTGGTCTCTATCCCTTTCTTCCCTCCGGCTTCCCTTCCCTTTTCCCCCAGAGCTCGACCTAAACCCTCTGCTCTAGAGTGTTACGGACGTCTCTCCTCGTATGTCCAAAGCGGGGTGTCTCAGTCACCCCCACCTGAAAAGTCTCAAGGTGCGGGTCTCAAATACCCCAAATCCTTGGCTAGGCCTGCTCTAGGTTGGCTCAGTAATTGACAGTGTGACCTCGAACAGGCCAGCGCTGATCTGTGCGTCCCCGGTTTCTCCTCCCGAATAGTGGCGGGGTTAGATCTTAGAGGCGCCTTTCAGCTGTAGTACCCTCTGAGGCTCCTCTTGGTTTTCATTCACGAAAGCAAAAAACAGAGGCGAGTTTGGCAGTGATTCCAGGGAGAAAAGGGGAGTGAAGGAAGCGCCCTCCCATCCTACCCCCGATTCCCTGCCATCTCATTATTGGCAATCAGAAGTGCTCCAAGTGGTCCTACCCACCAGCAGCGATCTTGTGTTTTTTTCAAGTTAGACACAGAGCCATGTAAGAAACAGAGATTGAGCTGGCCCCCGCCCATCGTCTTCTCTGTGCTCATCTTTCAGGTAAACGCTTGTCCTCTACGACTCTGGAAATCCTGTTCTTTCTGAATGGCTGGTATTATGCTACATATTTCCTGCTGGAACTCTTGATATTTCTGTATAAAGGTAAGGCTTGGGGCTTGACCACTTCAGCCCAGGGCCAACTCTCACCAACAACCTTCTTGTTTTTCATTCCTTTCTGACCGCCCCCCCACCCCCACCCCCAGGGCTTCCTTGAGAATGATTCAGTAGGAAGCCCCTCAACAAGAATTTCTTGAGTTTGGGACATGTAGGCTTCTCCATTCTGACTCTTCCCCATTACCTCTTTGCTAAATTCAACTTTAAGTCCATTGGTGACCCTCAGACATGATTCAGCAGCCTGTGGACCCATGCACATCAGATCATTTTGGAGAGTGCAGTCTCCAAAGACTTGGAATTAGGAATAAAACTGTAATAATGAGCCTTCCTCTAACAGACATAGCCACGCTGAGTTAACATAGCTGCAGCTGTAATAATGCCCACATCTCACTAACTAGTTCATGGAAAGCTGAGATGGACTCATGTTCTCTTTATTTCCAAGTGTGTGGGAGTTCTTGTGGGTGCTGTTAGGTATTGTTTATAAACTCTGGCTTTCATACTGGCAGGTCTGCTATTACCATATCCAACAGCCAACCTAGTACTGGATGTGGTGATGCTCCTCCTTTATCTTGGAATTGAAGTTATTCGACTGTTTTTTGGTGAGTGTTGTCCAGAGAATATTTCCATTCCTTATGAGATGAATTGGTATCTGTAACTTGATTAACAAGAAAAAGTACATAACCTAGGCTCACAATCAGAGATTGGATCTGGTGGTATATCCCATTACTCCCTCTCTGATATTTCAAGCTACCTCATATTTTGTATCAAGATTTGCCTGTCTTGCTCTGTAGGGCCAGAAGTAAGCTGTAGTATGAGATACTAGATAATTCCCTCCCAACTGCCTACTACAAGAGTGCCAGGTTTCTCTTAATGGTTGGCTTTGGGAGAATAGATTTAGTTGTAACACTGTGTCCAGGGCAGGATATGCCTTCACAGATCAACACTAAGTAAGATCCCCTTTACTTCTCTGAAATGATCTCTTTCAGACGTTTATATTCTCAGAAATTCAGAGCAAATCCCTTATTACTTAGAATATCTCATCCCTGAAAAACAGTTTTAAAGCATAAACTGAGAAAAAAATACTTGCAACACATATGACAAAGGATAAAAAATACTCATATAAATCACTAAGGAAAAGGCAACCTAATTTAAAAAATTGGTGAGATACCACCCAAAAAACCCAAACCCATTGCTGTTGAGTCGATTCTGACTCATAGCGACCCTATAGGACAGAGTAGAACTGCGCCATAGGGTTTCCAAGGCTCATAGGGTTTCCAAGGCTGTAAATCTTTACAGAAGCAGACTGCCACATCTCTCCTGTGGAGCGGCTGGTGGGTTCAAACCACCAACCTTCTGGTTAGCAGCAGCCAAGTGCCTTAACCACCGCAACACCAGGGCTCCTGTAATAGGTAATTCCAATAAGAATAATTATAGATGAGCAATGAACACATGACAAGATGCCCAGACTCACTAATAAAAAGCAAATTGAAACAACAAGGTAACATTTTTCACTCATCAGATTAAAATGATTATAATACTCAGGGAGTTTGTGGGAAACAGGTATTCTTATATACTCTTGTGGGAACAGAAATTAGTACCGTTTTGGTAATAGTTATTGCCATGTAAAATTAATATTCTTAGATACAACAATTTCACTTCTAAAACTGATTGAATAAAACAAAAACACTCTTCCACTGATATGCCGAGATATCTCTATGAGAATGTTTATTGCCATATATTTTGTAACATCAAAACATTAGAAACAAGCTAAACATCTGTCAATACAGGATTAGTTAAATAAATTATGCTGTTGGTTGAACAGAATTGTACATAGCCATTAAAAAAGAATGAGGTAGTTATGTGTATGGAAAGATGTATAACTTTTGTTAAATGGGAACAATTAAGTTGCAAAACAGTATGTAGAATATTATTCTATTTTTATAATAATAAATAATACGTGAGTATAAACATGTAAAAAATCTGGTATAATATACATTGTTCTATAATAATGGCTGTCTCCAGGGGGTGGAATTATGGAGGTCTTTCACAATCTATATTTTCTAAAACTACTTTCTATGAAAATTTGTCCATGATATATGTACTATTTTTATAATTAAAAAAAATGTTTTTCCCTAAATAAAGATCTCATTGTCCCTTGAGTGGGAGCCAGACTGGAAGCAGGACCTTTAGAGGAATGATTCCAATCCTGTAACTCCCCCAAAGTTGCTAATATAGTACAGTGGGACCCCATTTATAAATCTCTACATCCCCATTAGGATCATTTTTCTCTGCCTTGCCAGTCCATCACACCCCCACCCACCTTTCCTCTAAGGCCAGGGAAAGCAGGTCACCTGGAGGTAACTCCGTGGGCTGTATCTGACAGGTACAAAGGGAAACCTCTGCCAACGAAAGATGCCACTTGGTATTAGCGTGGCCTTGACTTTTCCATCTGCCATGATGGCCTCCTATTACCTGCTGCTACAGACCTACGTTCTCCGCCTGGAAGCCATCATGAATGGCATCTTGCTCTTCTTCTGTGGCTCAGAGCTGCTGCTTGAGGTGCTCACCGTGGCTGCGCTCTCCAGGTACTGCTGCGGAGGGGCCATTTCCTGTCACCTGAGGGTTGGGTTCCCATCCCATCCCAGAGAGGGGTTCATTGTCCTTCTGAAGCCTGAGGGGTCTAGAGGGCTTTTAAGGGGCAAAGGGATGTCTATGGAACTGCCATTCTCACCTAGAGCAGACAGTTACCTGCTTAGGAAAGAAGATGTTTTGGGGGGCCAGAGGATGTGGGATATAGAACAGTTCGGGCCAGTTTATTTATTTTTTTCCCACTGGTCTTTTAACATTCTGTTTCTTTCTTTCTGCCATCAGTACGGACAGGATTTGAAGTACAGAAATTTCTGCCAGCAGCCTTCATGGGCTGACACCGTACTTCTGGTACTTTAGCCACACCATGGGAATTCGGTGGGTCAAGTTGTCCTGGGAAAGGTTGCAGCTTTTCCTCAACATAGACATTTGGGCAGCAAACCGGGCATAAGGCCATTGGGCACCATCTTCTAATCCAGGACCATCAGCAGACTCTTCTATACTCCAGTATAGGGAGGGGCAAGGCTATCCCCATCCTGGCCCTTCTCAGAACCAATTCCCTGCTGACTTCAAGTTCTCCTCTTTGACCATCGTGGCCAGAGCATCTTGTGGGAACCATCTGGGCTCCTCGGGCTTTGAGCAGAACCTGAGCCACACACTTCCTGTACATGCTGTGCCAGACCTGTTCCGTGTGAGCACAGAGCCTCACGATGGTGTGCTCTCAGAGTTTATCAAGAGCCTCTCATCCCAGTCCTCAGAGACTAAGCTCCAGAAGTTTTTTAGTAGCTGATATACTGTTATTTTTCTATTCTCATCATGAAACAAACTATTTTATAATAAATATGTATTTTCTGTTGTGGTGGTTGCAGCCCTTTCCTTATGGCTCTGTTCCCTAGAATTTCATCCACTCCGAGAGAGGGTAGAGACTGTGGCAGCAGTTCGTTCTCAGGTTGTGGTTGGTTATATAGTATGGTGTAGTATGGACACAAAAGGGCAGTGATGAAGGTAACTTTTTTCCCTGAACTAACCCCTAAAAGCACTGCCAACCTCTTTTATCTTCTTCAGGTCTGTCATCCTGCAAAAACTTGCCTATAGCCTCCACTTCTGCCCTAAAGTCAGCATCTTATCTCTCATTTCTTTACAGATAAGTTGCCAGCTACTTTTCAAGGCAGGGCATGTGTAATTGGAAGAAGCATATTCTAAATTTACCAAAACTTTGACTATTTTTGGTCATATTTATTTTTAAATTAGTATTTTTTTATTTTGTTGTGCTTTATTATTGTTGTGCTTTAAGTGAAAGTTTACAATTCAAGTTAGTCTCTCACACAAAAATTTATACATACATTGTTTTGTGACCCTCCTTGCTCTCCCTGTACTGTGACAGCACACTCTTCCTTTCCACCTTGGATTTCCTATGTCCATTCAGCCAGCTCCTGACCGCTCTGCTTTCTCATCTCGCCTCTGGACAGGAGCTGCCCATTTAGTCTTATGTATCTACTTGAGCTAAGCAGCACATTCTTTACGAGTATCATTTTATATCCTATAGCCCAGTCTAATCTTTAAGAGTTGGCCTCAGGAATAGTTTTTAGTTTTAGGCTAACAGAGTCCAGAGGCCACGTCTTCCAGGGTGCCTCCAGTCTCAATCAAACCATTAAGTCTGGTCTTTTTACTACAATTTAAGTTCTGCACCCCAGTTTTCTCCTGCTCCGTCAGGGACTCTGTTGTGTTCCCTGTCAGGGCGGTCATTGTGGTAGCCGGGCATCATCTAGGTGTTCTCTTCTCAGGCTGATGAAGTCTCTGGTTTATGTGGCCCTTTCTGTCTCTTGGGCTAATACTTTCCTTGTGTCCATGGTGTTCTTCATTCTCCTTTATTCCAGGTGGGTTGGGACCAATCACTAGCTTTTAAGATCCCAGACACCACTCACCAAAGTGGGATGCAGAACATTTTCTAAAAAAATGTTATGCCAGTTTTTTTTTAAATTAATATTTCTTTTAAAATTTCAAGTTAACATAAAAGGGGATGTAATTTTTTTTTTTTTTTAAAGCTGGAGATATGTTGCCCTGGATGACTATCTTTCTCTTCTCTAAGTAACGATCTTTAAAACTATTCCTCATCTTGCTCAGTAGGGGTCGTTTTTTTAGCCCCAAGAAGCCAGCAGGAGTCATGGCAGAATCCACTTTGGGAGAAACCTGGAGCCATCTAGCCCTTCTCTCTGCTGTCAGATGAATCCTAGGCTGTCTGCTCTTACTCAAGAGTAAAAAGTAATTGATCTTTAAGCATTCTATGTTTTTACCACTGCTTATTTTCTGTGATTAGACTCATTCTCATCCAGTGAAGGTCTCCGCTGTCCAAAGCACTAACGCTCTTTCTTGTTTTCTAACCTTGCTGTGCCTTTGCTTCCTAGTCGCCCTTGGGGTCTGTCTAAAAACTGTCGTAGACAAGTCTAATCAAACATGAAAGAACAAAAAAATCCAGTAGGAACTTTCCTGGTATTTCAGTCACAAATTCCAGTTAATATCGGATTTTCTGCTCCTTCTCACACTGCATCTTTCTCTAGCCCCGAGTTGATCACTGGCATCCAACTGGAGAGGAACCTGTTCTCCAAGCCTTCTCATTTCATTTAGAGGCTCAGCGGTTAACGTCACCTTCCCAGCAACACAGATAAATGAATGGGAGACCCAGATGGAAGTTTAAACATGGTTTATAAAATCTAAACGTTAAAGGGTTCAAAGGGGCGTTAACTATCAACTGAGTCTAACCCCTTACTTCACAGGCTTAGAAATGAGGAAGTAATGTAGCCAGCATCTCACAGCTAGTTACTCAGTTGGAGCTAGAAACCATGCCTTAACGAGTCTTAGTCTGGCTCAGTTAAATTCCTGTTTCTCATCAGGTACCACCTGAGGATGAAGATGAATGGTTGAAAATGAGGATATGATAAAAATAGGAGTCTTCTCATTTGCTTCATGGTTATGTGGAAGCGTACTGCATCGTGCTTCCTGTGGGTGGCTCCGTAAATGTCCATTTCTGATATTTGCTGGAGCCACCTTTGTGGATGCAGTTAGTTACACCAGAGATGAGAACATCATAAAACAAACTGAGGCAGTGGAGGACGGGAATCAACACAGTTAGTCTTTCAGGGTTAATGTGTAAATTCAGGGTGTGGTTCTAGAGGGAGGTCCTTCTTTGTCTATTTCAGCGTCTAGTAACTGCCAGCAATCCTTGGTGCATCTGGGCCTGTAGATACATCTGTCTCCATCTTCTGCCCCCCCACCCATGTGTGTGTCTCTGTTGTGCTTTTTATAACTCAGAGTGACTAGGTTTAGGATCCATCCTACTCTGGTATGGCCTTATGAACATAACCAAAGAAAACCCTGTTTCCAAACAGAATATCCACAAGTACAGGGGCCAGGAATTCAATACATATTTTGGGAGGACACAACTCATTCCCTAATACCATGGCAGTGATTTGTAGGAGAGGTATACAGGTAGTCCTTGACTTACAACATATTCCGGTTACAATGAACCGCACAACAGGTTAGTAATATGTACTATATACAATGTTGCAGCACATAATTTACCGATATCATTCACAGATGTTCAATGTTATGATTTACTATTGAAAACACTGCTGTATAGCAGGCAATAATAATGAAAACTTAAAAAAGGTATTCAACATACATCAGAACCGACTTACCGATGGAGTTGTCAGAACGGAACCCCATCGTAAGTCAAGGACTGTCTGTACGCATGCAGTGCCAGGCAGAGTGTATTTAATCCATACCATGATCCTATGAGGCAGAAGGAAATTGACTCAGACGTGAAGTTAGGTGTCTAAGAGCATTCAATTTAGAAATAGTTAAGAGTTGGCATTAGAACCTAGAGGTAATCCAACGTTCACTCACTTTCTACACCACCATGGAACTGGTTAGATCAAATAAAAGAATGTATTTGCTTCTCTGTCTAAACTAGCATCCTCATAGTTTAGTTTACATAAAGATCATCTGGGTCATAAAAAAGTAGATTCCTAGGCTTAAGTAGAGATTGATTCAGCGCAGAAATAGGGATTTTAGCAAGCACGGAATGTAACTTGAGATGCAGGTGACTATGGACCCCAACGTGAACACTAGTTCTGAAATGCACTCCCAACAGTTTTTTTCCTCCCTTTAAGTGTCACATCATCACTGACCCTCTCTTCTAGTAAAGGTTATGTGACTTTATACTGCTTTTTGCCTTTTTAGCCCCAGTACACATTATCTGGTCCCTGGCTCATCTTTTATCAGCGAAGCCTCTTGTTCATCTGGCTTTTTAAAAAGCCAGGGGCTTTTCTGAAACCCCAAAGAGATCTCCCCAAAAAACACTTCTCCTAAGCTTTCTGATCCTTAGAACATCACGTGAGTATGGCAGAGGAGCTATTTTCACTCTACAGATGAACAGACCATGAGGTTGTGTTGCTCGCCCGTGGTTAGTTAAGACTGATGGTGGAACTAGGCACTAGCATTCATGTTTTCTAACTCCTGTCAGGATTTTCTTCCTGAACGTGACGACATCGGAACGGAATGGTACAAGGTAGGAACTTTTGAGAGTAAGTCATCAGAATCTTGAAGGGTAAAGGGAAGTTTTTTCAGCCAGGCCGTTTAGATAGCTAAGGAAAAAAAGCTAAACCTCCCAGGGCACCTCCAAAAAGGTTTGCATTAGAGGTCTCCTGGGAGGCTTACCACAGGCCATGACAGCCACTGCCTGACACGCAGCTCCAGAAGAAGTCAGAGTTTCACTCTCATCCCGCAGCCTCTACATCGCCCTCACCCCATAAACCGAAAAACCCAACCTGTTGTCATCGAGTCCATTCCAACTCACCTCAACAAATCTATTCAATGCAGAATCCATAAAATAGCTCACACCCCATTTATTATTTAAAAATATTGTTACAAAAAGAAAAGAAAATACAATGCAGTATAAAAGATTGACAGCGTCATCAAGTTTATTACACAATTTTCAACCTATCAGAAAGACAAATCACCGACAACAGGGGGACGGGGCCTTGGCCTTTTTGAGGGTTGGGGTTTTTTTTTTGTTTTTTGTTTTTTTCCCTTTTGCTATCAGGAAATAAAACTAAAAATTATGTCATGAGTAAAAACAAAACAAAAAAATGGGGAGAAAAAATCTCCAGGTAAACGGCTTTTCTGGTATTCTATATATTTTTTCCTTAAGCTGTCACCTTACTTGGTTTTCTCTACATTTTAAAAAGACACCCGAGCTGCTCACAAGGATAAGCACATCTTAACACTTGGCCGGACGGGCAGGGTGCCGTGTTCCGAAGTGGAGGTGGGGATGGGGCTGAGGAACAGGAAAAAAGCTACCACCTGTAGCCTCTGTCCCAAGGGAATGTGCCTCTCCAACCCTGGGGGATCCCTCAGTGACTGACTGAGGGCTGTGTCAGAACGTCCTGGGAACAGAGGAAGGGCTTAAGTACAGTCTCTCCCCCGAGCCACAAGGGTCTCCACCGACCCTATGTCTCATGTGCCACATCTCGTCTCATGTTAGATGTTACATTCCCTCAGAGGCATGCAGAAGTAGCATCACCCCATGGGTACTGCAGAACCCTGTTGTTACTTCCTCCTTCAGCAGCAACCACATCACAATTTGGATGTTAAGGGAGAAGCAATGCCATTTGCCTGTGTAGAAAATGGCCCCCAAAGTGGTGGTCCTTAGAACTCTGAGCTGAGTTCATTCAAGTCAGTTTCCACTTCTTCCTTGCTCCGTATCAGAGGCAGGCAGGAAGTACCTCCAGGCAGAGCAAGGGGAGCTATTAAGTCAAAAGTCAAAGGTGGACAAACACCTAATTTGTGACTTTACTTGCCTCCTAGTGCCAGGTTATCCCACAATCACAATAAGTAAAAGGATGTACCTAGGGGATGCAAGCCCATGCTTACCTCGAACCTGAAAAAAAAAAGCCTATGGAGGTAGGCCACATCCTGCCCAACTCGCCTCCTTCCCCACTCCTGGTACATCATAAAGGCTCTTCATTGCTGAGGTCCTGATGTTCTCATCTCCCAATGGCAGTACCTTCCTCTAAAACAAGGAAGCAGCCTTTTGGGGGCGAGGGCTTCATGTGTGAAATGGAGAAGCCCCAAGGAAAGGGAACACCTAGTAGAGCTGGTTATTGCAAGAGGCAACCAAACACTAAGCAGCAGAGTGTTAACTGGCTCTGTCAGGCTCCCCAGCAGAAAGCAACCTCACAGGCCTCTGCTTAGGAGGAGCAAGTCCACGGAGGAGGCTGGGCAGCAGGGAGTTGAAAGAGTTCAGCCCTCTGGGAGGTCAGGGAAATAAACCATCAATATGTGCGAGGGAAAAGCAAGAACAGAAATAGCTTTTCATAAGGTGATTTCTGTTCTCATGGTCCCTCAAAGGGCTGGGAGGGTAAAGAGTTAAAACAAAGAAGTGGTATGTTAGCAAGGGGTTTGGACCCTCTTGGCCCCATCAAATCTACTGCAGGACCCTGGGCATACGCTGGCACACCCAGTCACTCTCCTAGACCACACATGGAGGATCCACTTTCTCTGGGAAAGAAGCCTTCCCATCAACCTCACCACTGAACTGTTCCTGGAGAATCAGAAACTCTACACTTCTTGGACAAAGCACCATTATCTATGAAGACCAGGGGCCTGGACACATTTTCTTCCTGTCTGCCACCCCTCCCAACCATACAAAGTCTCTAGGCTCTTTCCCCTGGCAAACAGGAGGTGTGGGGTTGGGAGGGCTGCCAAGCAAACTTCAATCCTGTGGGGCAGAGGGTATTCCCTGGGTGTCTGGAGGAAGTTAGGGGCTTGGAAGAAGGGGAAGGGGTGGAGCGGCCTCCGTCCTTCAGTCCTGATCAAGGTGAGGAGATGCAAGTCCATTAAAAAAAATTTTGCTTCCAACCAGATTCCTACAATGAGAACATCAGAAGAAAGAAAACGTAAGTTAGAGGTTACTTTCTGATTAACGCAGCTTATGTGAAACACTGGCATTTTCTAAAGTTACAACATAAGAAGTAGGGGATGTAGACAGTGAGGGAGCGTGCACGCCTGGGAGAGAAAAGCAGCAGGCCTGTCTGGGATGTTCTGAAAAAGCAGCAGTTTCCCTGTAGTGAGAAAAGAGAAAGGGACAATGATGTCTGTTTTTAAGACTAGGAGGAAAACACAGACGATGAAATGAGGACTCTGAAAGCAATCTGATTAAGACTTTGGCTGGAAAAGTATGGGAACTATCACATTTCAAGAAAAGCTGCTACATGGGAACATGGTGAGTTTAAATAAGGTTCAGCAAATCTGTTCTGAGTGTCTTGGCTTACCTTAAGGGAGGAAAAATATCTGGAAATGGGAAGTATGATGATAAGAAAACAAGTGTGTATATAACCAAATCCATTTACTGCTAAACATCCAAGAGGCCCCAGCAGGGAGCATTTGCTTACACAGAAAACTTCTGAACTTTTTTCCTTTTCAAGAAGCTGTGGTTAAAACAGATTCTAAGTGTCTTTGAGAGTATGTGTGCACACACACACATGCGCACAGCCAGAGATATCCTAGGTTATACTAAAACTCGAGTTTTTAAGTCTGTCCCCAGATGGTAGCCATGGGTGAGGGACCAAAAAGCATACTAACAACAAGCAGGAGTAGCCTGCCAGGCCAGAAGAGAAAGCAGAGCATGGAAGTGAAAGGAAACATTCAGTAGTCACCATCAAAGAAACCTAAAACAGAGTAAGAACTTTGGCCCGATAGTAAGCGACTGTTAAGCTATTTGTCACATCTCCACCAAACTTAAGTTTCCCAGTACATTCAGTCCTTGTTCCAGTGTTGCAATATCAATTTGCCACTGGTGGCCTGGTCAGTCTAACAATGATCCTATATTAAAGAGAAGTAAAGTCAAAAGAAAAGTGGAAATTCAATTTAGGCATAGAATTTCTACTATTGCCCAAGCTGGCAACTGCCTACACACAAACCCAGCCTTTGTACACATTTCTAAGAAAAGGCCTCATAAAAGGTACACACTGGAGGAGCTATCCAAGAAAAAAAGACAGTCACATGCTGCCCAGTCAGTCCACATGCTGAAATGGCACTAAGTATTTTCAGTCTGGGATCCTCAGAATCGGTTACAGCCTTGCTGGCTTCTCTTAACACCTAAGCAGGAACGGTATCTGTCCCATTTTCTGTTTCATACCATTAGGGCGTTGAATCTTTGGACAGGATGAAGTTTTGAAAGGCTTGATTTTCAGTGGATCAGAAGGATAGGAATGGGGTAAGAACGACTCTTTCGAGTAGGGTAATGTCCTAAAATAACGAGACAACTGACACAGCTGCAACTACAGAAAGCTGAAGCCACAGATTACCTAAGAATATCCTCAAACTGCAGAGTACACAAACATACCCTGGAAGAGATGTACTTTGTGAACTGCCCCTACAAAATAAGACACAGAGGATAACAAGTATACCCAGAGAAGTAACCTACAGCAGGACTGACAGGCCAATTCTTAAAGCTCTGTGACTACATTTTAGGTGATAATGCTTGAAATCAGAAAGAAGCAAGAGACTCCTGCAGTGGCCAGTCAGCCTTCAGGCCCCAGAGGTGGCCTCTATCACGAAGGAGGGCAGACAAGGTTGCTGCTCTATTGCTGCCTCTGGACAGAACACACCTTTCACTCTTAGGGACCACCTGTCCACACAGTAGAAATACTATTATTTTCTAACATAAAGGTCACTGTACGTAGAGCTCACAAAACTAAGTTGTGAGAGAAATGAGGACAATGAGCCATCTCCCCAGTGTGAAACCTCCTAAGTCAGAACCTGGTAACTACAGATGGAATGAAAAGTCCGTTGGATGAGAATGAGAAATCTGTTGGGTGTTTTAGTTCTTTTCCACGACAAAGACAAAATAACCAATATATTTAAGGGGTGATCAGGAAAAGTGGGGAAGTGGAAAACCTGCCTCAGTTCATTTTCCTCATCTTGTTATAGGCCCACACCAGTCAGATTTTTTCTGGAAGCTACTGGGTTACAGAGTTATTCAAAGTGAATCACCTTCATAATGAAGAAACAGTCCCATTTTACAGGTGGAAAAAAACAATGCAGCATGACACTTCAAGTGTCAGGTTAGCATGTTCAATCTCCAAAGTTTTACTGATGGTTAGATGATCTCACTGACAATTCCCCTGTCAAAAGGCAACAGGAGCAAAGCCAACAAGAACTGTGACATGTATTTACATATTCTGATTACTAAATCGAATGTGGCCCTGGAGACTGATTCATATTCTACATGGATCAGTCAACACCTCCCTAGTCACATTATCCCAGCTAACTCCAAAAGACACACACTGTAGGCTAACAGGACTGGGCTGGTGGGGTGGGACCCACAAGCAATACTAGCATATCTGCTAGCTCAAATAAGAAAAGTGAAATGCTGCTACTGCTAGGGAGATAGGACTGGACCAAAGACCTACCTACTCCTGCTCGCTCCAGGAGACTTAGGCCAAAGATGTTTGTGGGTTCCATCTACACTAGAGTCTGCATTTCCACTGAGCCTGGACAGGTGTGCACCTCCCGAAAATCACTCAACCTGTTGATTCTAAATGAGTTATCCTAGATTTCAAGGATGTCAAGCACTCTAGATTTTTGTGGAACAAATGAAAGATTTAAGAACAAAGAAAGGAGCAAGTAAAAAATGTTAGTATTCTTTTCATTATCCCACTTGCCTTCCAGAAGACATCAGAAACAATTCCTAGCTATAAATCTGTTTTAAGTTTTTGGCAGATAATGCCAAACAACAAAGTGGATGGCAGTAGCTAAACAGTACAACAGGAATATTTTCTTGTTAGTAGGTTGTCACTAGGCAAAACACTGCAGAATTTTCCAGCCGTGTACAGTCCAGCTATATCTCATGAACGACAGGGAATCACAGGAGGTGGAGAGGGTTTTTTTTTTCCCTTCTTCATCTAGCCATCCATCTATCCACCTAACACCAATAAAGATACACAAACAGAACTAGAGTCTCCTTACCCTCCTTCTTAATTACCACTACTCCAGACTGATCAAACTGCTGTAACACCAACGATATCTTCATAATGCACTTGATGTGAAACAGAGGAGTGGCATCCCCAAAGACTTTATAAGTCTATAACCACAAAATTGAGAAGAGACTCCAAAATCACCTGGGTCATACAGCTACCTCTAGGAACCACAAACAGACCATCTTAGCCAGAGTCTGGCCCACTTTTAAAGACCTCCACAGGAACAGAGTCAAAGATTGCTCTTACTTCTTCACTATAAACAATCTTTGTTATAAGCTCTCTTTCAGTTGGGATTGCTAGGCTGGTGGATGTAACCCAGAGTGATATAATCTGGAGCAACTAGAGGTCCTCAAATGGAGCCTGCCTGAGACTGGAAACAGCAGAGAAAAGCACAGCTGAGAGACACGGAGATGAAGTCCTAATGACACAGCTGGAGCCCCTGATCCACTTAAGCCTAAAGTTAACCTTACCCCTGACTGAACTTTTCAATTACCTAAATTAACATAAGTATCATTCCCAACACTCCTGCTTTTGTTTTGCTTAAAAAAAAAAAAAAATCACTGGAAGTTTTCAAAAACAAAAAAAACCTTTCTTTGAAGTTAATTATCCTCCACAGTCTCTGAAGCTATTAAAGATAATTTTCAGATCACTTTCTCCCTTCTGACTAAAATAGTCCAATTTTCAAAAGCTTTTTAACAGACATCATTCAAAATCATTAATGCTGCACAATCAAAACAAGAAGGCAATGTCTTTTTTGTCTTAGTCAATTTTCCCAATTTTTTTTTAACTTGGAAGTTTGGCGGGGTTAAGATACATAATATTGATGATAACAATGGCTAACATTTATGGACAACCTACTATGTGACAGGCACTATGACTGCTAAACGTTCTACATAGATTATCTCACTGAATACTCAGCAGCTGAGACAGCTGCTTTTATTATCTTCATTTACAGATGAGGAGCTGAGAAACAGAAGGTAAGAGGGCTTAAAGTGGAGGAGCTGTGATTTGAACTCTGTTATCTGCCTGTAGACTCCATGCTCTTAGCTTATTATGCCATGATGTCACTCAGAAACCAGGTTCAAGCAGTCACGAAACAAGCAAAAACAGCTTAATCTCAAATCCATCTAAGAGCTTCCCCACAAACAAGCAGGAAATCTGCCCTCCTGAACTTTCAGCTACCTAAGCCGAAAATTCTCCCATCCCCTTTATTTGCTTTAAAAAGAGAGAGAGACAGAGGAGAGAGAGAGAGAAATCTTCACTATCAATTTTGTTTTCATAAAAAGATCACCTACAAGCCAGGAATAGGGCGTCCCACCTTTCTCAGTGGTGCCGGTCCCGTTCTCTATCCCGGTGTCTCTCGTGCTCCCGGTTCCTTTCTTGGAAATAATCATCATGCCGATCTTCATTATGAAGCAGGTCCCGATGCCTCCTGCTGCTCTCCCGGGACCGGCTAGGCGACCTCTCCCGGGACCGATGTCTCTTCCTGTTACAAAGATCCATCAGCCTCACTCAGAGGGCCTACCACATTCTTTCCTAGAGAGTTTTGTGTTTTGATGTCTTCCAGTATTTGTCTAAACTATTCTATTACTCTATCACACACCCATTTGTCCTGAAAATGTTAGCTCTTTGAGGATGTCTTTTTTGGGAAAATACTAACAGCTAAATTTGTTGAGATTTTACTATGTATCAGGCACGATGCTAAGAGCTTTACATGCATTATCTCACCTGATCTTTACAACAGATTTATGAGATAAATACTACTATAGTCTCTTTTTTAAATACGAGAAAAACGAGGCTTGGAAATTTCAGTGACTTCCTCAAGGTCATACAGGTAGTCAGCAGCAGAACTGGGATGAAAATCCAAGCCTGTGTGGCTCCAAAGCCCACGTTCTTAACTATTTATAGCAGCCTGTCTTTTTTTTTTTCCCCCTAAATGAGCTCACAGCCTTACCCAACACAGACTGCTGACATTACAACATTTATTAATAACAGTGTTTGATTTCATCTCTTAAAGTTATGAGGGCTAGGTGCACGCTTTCAGCCAGGTTCTTGCCAAATACCCTGGACTCCTTTCCTCCCCCTACCAATCCCTGGAAGAGTGGTGATCAGCGCTGGTAGGCCAATGAAGCAATCAACTCACCTGGAAGAGCTCCCGCTGGCACCCACACTGTAGGACTTGGCTTCAATGCCATGAAGACAGTCCTTAAGAGAGGAGATGAGGACACGGCAACGCTCATCATTGGCGACCCGGGACTGTTTGATAACAGCAATGGCTGTGAGCAGCGTCTCAATCGCGTCACTGTAATCCCCTAATAGGGGATGGATGGGAAAGGCCAAGGATGAGCAGAGGCAGTAAACTAACTGGACCAAAAGGAGAACTCAGAAAGACACAAACCAAGAGTAACTAGCTGTCCCACAGAATCAAGGTAAAATGGATGAGGCAGAAGTGATAAGTATAGAACCGGATAGCACCTATATTTCAGTGGTCTGGAATCAGAAATTTTCAGATACTGCTAGGAGATGTATAAACTTGTACATTGTAGTCCAAAGGCAATTTGACATCTATTTGAAGAAGCAATTCTGCTAAAATTTTTCTACTTCTTTTTACAAACACCTCTGTTTAAGAGCGTGTGTTTCAGCACTGTTAAAAATTGGAGACAATGTTAAGTTCCTTCAGTAGGGTCTGGCTATATATAAAAAATTAGGAAACACTGGTTCTATAGAATATTACATCGTTGTTAAAAAGCATGAGGTAAACCTGTATGTAAACAAAGTAATCCATCTAAAGCACTTAGCAGAGTGCCAGACACACGGTAAGGGCTCGATAAATGTTAGATATTATTATATGTCAACATAATAGATGTCCAAAATATATTAACTGAAAAAGCAAGTTGCAAAGTAGTATACCATTTTGGTAAAAAAAAAAAATTCAAAATTATATATATGGTATATGCACTGAAAAATCCTGGAAGAACATTTACTAACATGGTAAAGGCAGTCCTGTTGGTGGTCCTTGTATACATGGAGGACTTGCATTTCGTACCATTACATACTTCTGTATCTGAATTATTTTTAAATATATACTCTAACCAATGTATATTTCATCTCTAACCTGATGTATATGTGCATATACATACACAACACATGTACATGTAATATATGTATAATTAAAAAAAAAAATTGTCATCAAGAATTAGCTCCTTCATTTCCCAATGCCTGACTCAAGGATAGGGGCCAGGGAGTAGGTGCTTGCACAATGCTTTTCCAAGCTGAGTCAAAAGCATTAAAGACAAGATAATGCAAGGAAAGCATGAATCTGGATAGGAATCCAGTGAAAATGAGGACTGGCAGCTTCCTCTGCGCAAGGAAAGAAGAATAGGAACTCCATGGTCCTGGGGAGGTCCAGAAACACCTGGACACCAGTTCCACAAGGGCAGGGAAATTTCCTTGTTTTGGAGGCACTCAATAAACATCTGTAGTTTGAATGACAACAAAAAGGGAGGAGATAAAGATTCTATCATTGATTATCTCAGTGTGAAGGGATTGGTAGAAAAGAAGAAAACAGTGATTATTTTCTTTATACTCTTCTGAATAGCTGACTTGTTACAATGAGCATATATCAACTTAGGTTCACTCAGATGTCTATGAAGGTTTTTCTGGCAGAAAAAATTTTTTGAACAGAACAGACTTCCTGTCTTTAATCTACTCTGTAGTTTCAAGATGTCAAAGGTTCACTCAGATGTCAATGAAGGTTTTTCTGGCAGAAAAAAATTTC